TGCTTGTCGTAAGAGGCGACTAACGCATCGTATCCTAATTGCGTGGATCGATGCCCATGATATCATTCACTGGATTGCCTGTTCCAGACTTGATTATTTACAGACGCTGAAATAGTCCGGCGTTCAACAACACAGAAACAAATCGACTTCTCCATAAATATATACCTTCTGTATGTCATTCCTGGTGTCCCCAGTCAAGTAAAAGTATACACTTAACAAAATATTCCTTTTATTACTCGAAGTTCGAGCTCAAAGGTGTTTAGATACTAATGTACAATTTCTGGATTAATATTTTAGAGAATTCATATAAATACATAGGTCATCTGACATTTACTGACAATCTTTATCGTCTTTTACATGCGATATTACCGAGCGAGATATTTACAACTGTTTATGTCAAAGAAAGCTTGGTTTTTCGATTATAGAACTTTAGTCAGATATAAACACCAGCTTTATTGTCTCACTCCGCTGCGGCCATAGTTTACAAAACACGAATGATACTAACGACATATCCAAACATTTAAGAAGCATCTACCAATTTGTTGCGTGCCTAATAAATGCGTCTTTCGTTGTGGCTGCAGAGGTTGTGCTGAAAAATGTTGTGTGTGTTATCTGGTTGATGTGCATTATTGGAATTTAGTCTTTTACAAATCAGTCCAACACAGACTACCCCCCCCCCCCCCCCCCCACACACACACACACTGTGTACTGACTGATCATGCTACCAACCACTGTCGATTCGATAGAAATACAGGTCACTTAGATATAGACCGAATAGCGCTGAATGCAGTGAAATAACACGCGATCACTCATATTTTCCGACTGATCTTTCGAGGTAACTCTTTGAAGTTTTGGGACTTTCAGTCGGTGGAAATGAGAAGAATTTGACCCTCTTAAAATAGGTTAGTCCACTTTGAATACGTTAAAAAATGTTAGAGTTGAGACTGTTGACCCCGAACTCCTTTGTCAAAACGAAAAAAACCACATTGTTCCATCTTTGCACTCGAGTGTGTCACCTTTATCACATTAACAAATACTTTCAATGTTTGTATATCTGGTAGTAAATGAAGTTCGAATAATCAAATTTAGACATGTATGCCGTAATGATTCAGAAACAGTAACCAGATTGTATGATATTGTTTTCCTAGCCAGGAGAGTACGGTGCATAGTATAACCATTAATCTCATCTGTGTGAAATTGGAAACATAACTGCAGAATTGTGTCAGTATTTACCCACATTTTGACGGCGTTCACGCAACATGTGTGGAGCATAGCGTTGTGGTAGAAGGGTAATCACATAGCTATGTGCAATGAACACGTGTGGGTCTTTAGCCGGTATAGGAATGACCTAAGGCGGACTCTATAAAATGACGACTTTGCTGAAAAGTTTAGTTAGTCATCACATTTGGCTTGAGGACAATGTTCTATACAAAACAGCCACAGAAAAGCTCCAGAAACCATTGTAAAGCAGGGTCCTTTTTCTCATTTTATTTTTGTCATGAATCACGTGTGATTTTTCTGTACTACTTCACAATCACGATGCAAACGCCCAAGGTGTAAAGGGTACTGCAGAAAGTGCACTGAGTCAGTCGGACGGTTCTGAGCATTTCCTGAAAGCTTGACCTTGGAAGTAGGGGAAACATAATATTATTTGTTTCAGGTTCTTGCAGAAGACAGACCCAACGACGTCATACCTCAAATGAGATATTATATTAATATATTACTAATATACTTATTTTCGTAATGATGGTACATCCACATGGACATATATACATATTAAAAATGAATTCACATGCGCACGACGAAACACTGAAACTACGTTGTTGCAAGTGTCAGTCACGAGAACAGTCATGTCGACAGAAATGGAATAAGTATTGTCTTTACAAAAATGCTAAATAATACTGCGGAAACGCGCACGTTTTTTGGTATAACACGTGTTTTGTTTTCGTAAACAAACATGTGGAAAGCTTAGTTAAGTTTTACTATATTTGCTATACCGTTTACTAATAATATGTGTTTTATTTAAACTGATAAAATTACATATAAGAGAGAAAAAACATGAAAATGTGAACACGAGACATGCATAATTCAACTACAATCTAAAATGCAAGGAATTCACATTGGAAAAAACTAAATCGACAATGTTTTATGCACAATATTGTTCATTAGACGCATGAAAATTGGTACAGTTGTGACTATGGCGTTTATCCCTTGCGGAATTATAGCTAATTTAAGATGGATCTACACTGGGTTTCCTTTTCTTGAACAAGAAAACGAATTTGCGATGGAATGTTTCATAAGGCAGGAAAACGAAATTCCTGTTCAAAATGTTCGATACTGAATCTAAAATAAACCCCAAAAGCAATAATTGAGGCAATAACAGGGACTTGCGTGACAAGCAAGCATAAGGAAAGTCAGTTGGCTTTTCCCGTTTCTTGGGGATGCCCTTGTCATCAGTTCTTTTATGGTGGGCGTTTCACATTGCTGGGGTTTACATAGAGACACTTAACCACGATTAGACATACAGCCTCTAAATAAATCAAATAACACCTGTTCTATTAGCAGTATGCTCGCTTGGTTGCAATTATGTCATTAAGTTCAGAGCTTGATTTGTAGTGTACCCCTGGTCCAAATCAGAACAAGAGCTATTGTTTAATGATGTGAGCAGATTCATTTGTCATTTGTTATCTTGTATCCCATCTCCCATGTACCAGCGGGGACGCCGTCCCACAGCGATGTTGGCTATTACTGTAGACGTTGTGACCCACATCTCCACATTCCTACCCGACTACCATCATAAAGCCGCATATTCCAACACGGCAACCATTCGCCAAGCAAGTTTAACGAGAATATATCATATACAGCGTCTTATTTTGTCCTGAGAGTAATCAGTGCTAATCAGGATACGAGTAGTGTTAGATGTTTCTAGTTAGACGGACCCCCGCCGTAGGTAACAGGAGAGGATGGAGATAAATGGGGGTCGCCAAATACTTATTTTTGTCCCTTTTCAGATTTGAGATAATTATTTCGGAGATCCGATAATCCCACAAGACTGGTTGTCTGTAAGCAGTATTTTCTCTATCACATCGTTACCTTTCGGTCCGTGGTCAGCGTGCATATAGTGGTATTGTATGGGTATTAGATATAAACTGACGGACGAAAGAAAGTATACACCCACGATTGATGGTGGCTAAAAATGAAACAAACTGGAAATGGTTATTCGATGGGGATGTATTTGGTATGGGTATCAATGTTGTGTTTTGGACCTAAAGTTTCCATTTTTTTCGGCGACTATTTTCAGCCTTGTAACGTTTTGATACATTTTGTAATTTCAGTATACATTCTTTAGCCCGACAGCTTATTTGAGTTTCCTTCCCTTTCTTTACACCAGGATGAAACAGAATGTGTTATACTCCGTTATTTTGTCATTTTCAAAACTGTTCGTGAGCGTATGGCGTTCACGCCATAGTCAGTAACATCATGGTCATGTTCATACAGACGGTGATCTGTAACTATCTCTTTTCAGAGGGAGTGAGTCATCGAGATTGTCATGACAACTCATCTTATGACTGTACCAACCTATAACAACTATTCTCCTTTTGAATCCTGAATGTTTGGACAATGAACTTTATGTAATGCCTGAAACGCATAGGGTATACGGAGTATTTGGTTTGTTTGTTTATTGCTTAACGCCGCAGTCAGCAATGTTCCAGCTATATGACGGCGGTCTGTAAATAATGGAGTTTGGACCAGACAATCCAGTAATTGACATCATGAGCATCGATCTACGATATGCTTCTACCGAATCAACGAACGTGACCACCCGATCCCGATAGTCGCCTTTTACGGCAAGCATGGGTTGCTGAAGACATGTTCTACCCCGGATCTTCACGGGTCGAGTATTTGATTTTCCTGTGAGAGGAAAGGCTGTGAATGGCGACCACCTTGGACAGATTTATACTGGAGAACGGACTGTTAATAAATGCTTGTACGTTGATTTTCCAAATTGAATCGACCCCACTTTACGGATTTCTCGATTTGCTTAAAAATTAGCAAAATGGTGTTCGGAATTAACTATAGACGAGCCTTATTGAAATATCCGAGAGAGTAAATAATGCAGAGGCGGGCTACTTCTACATGGTCGAAGCTTTAGTTTTCATTTTCGAGCTGACAAACGCGTTGATGCATAGGTGTACGTTGATATAAGGTTAAGCTCCCCGGTACTTAACGCTCAGCCAAAGGTGAATATATTTGCAAGAATTCAATTAGATCTATGGTAGCTCTTACAAAGAAGGATCTTGCCATGAACTGTTTCTCCCTTGGGCAGTATGGGCAGGGGAAGTTCACGGTGCCTCATGCATGTCGGTTTGTGACAATGTTTGACCTGGTCATATGTGTATCATCCTATCTCGACGGCGTGGTTCATGGATGGTTGCTCTTGCAATTTATGCTCATTAATTTACAGGCCGTAATAGTGTCGTGTATTAATACCTACTGTGGCATAAAATGACATTCACTCACTCGCTCATGAACCCCTTAAAACTCGATAACGGTATGGTAATTATTTCAATCATTTAAATATATATATGGAATGCATGTCGAAAACACATTCTATCTCTGGAAAAAATAGCTGCACCTTGAATAATTTCACATAACAAAGAATCGTATTCCCTCTATACTATTCGTAGAGCATATATTGATAAACCAAATCGAGATAGGGATATTTATTTCCCAGAAGGGGAGGACCACGAAAAGTCAGGGCAAGTTCATGAACATGTGTGTATGTTTAGTAGGCTAGACGTTGATTTATAGGAAAGCAAAATGGGTTTGGAGTAGAACTATACAAACTGACATTTGTCACCGACCGCCGGGGGAAATAATACGACAATGTCCAATAATGACTGTTGAATCGTCTGAATGATAAAATAGCCGGATGATACGTTCTATGCATATGAGCGGCAACAGTAAACCAAGTTAGTGTCACACATCGCGGAGTGTGCCAGTGTGTGAGTGACGGTGGGTGGGACGGACTGGCGTGTCCGTCACAAATACCCCGGCCTGTCAAGCGGAACCTCCCCCCCACGTGGTGCATCAGACATCCAGAGTACAGGCGACTGCAACCCCCTCGGCGTTACGCCCGCGTGAGCAGTGTCACTATTGGAGATGTGAGACGGCATATTAACCATATGAGATAGAATTTCCAAACGAGTATAGTCTCTAGTTTCAAGCCCGTGCCACGCGTACAGACCACATTCTCCTGTAACGAAGGGGTGTACCAAGGGGACCCTCGCGCCAAACACTCCCAGCGTTCGACCGCTGAGCAAACCTCGGGGGTGGATAGACAAACGGGGCTGGCAGACAGACAGACAAGTGCAAAGGAAGAGTTCAGATTGACAGACGAATGCACCCCTAGGGATGAATACTTTAATGTCAGTTCGATGCTTCCTCTGTTTCCTGGGCGTTCTTGTGGTGACTGTGAGTACTTTACACATTGTTTGATTGAAAGGAGGGGAAAACACTTATTCAGCTTTTTGGGGAAGCTGCTGAAAGCAGAAACGAGCAAATATCGCAAGTTAGGAGACTATGTACGCCTTTGAGTTTTATTGTTGGCGTTCCGTATTATCTTATAATATACATCTGTTCAATGTTCAACTCTGGATACATGTTCAGTTATATATATATCTATATCTTTATGTAATTGGTGAACAGTGTCATTTACACATATATTAGCTTCAATTATCTCTTCATGGAATAATAAAAGCAAATATTGCCGTTTCGTCGTTTAGAATAAGAACAGAAAGACCGACACCCAATTTACTGTCAGGTTAGCTATTGTAGGAGTACGATGAGTTCGTTCATTAACTACGTTATTATCGACATGTTTAGTCCAAAGCGTATATCATGATTACCCAGTAATTTATATTATTGTGCAGGTTAATTTGAATCTTGAAAGCACATGTCATCCCTGATGATTGCTTGATCCTACCAATACTTGAGACATGCCCTATACAACAAACCTCATGATTATGCTTACCATACAAACACGCATTGTTACGTGATAGTGCACATCTTAAACATGTCTGTCATTACAGACAGTATTGCATTCAACTGGGGAATGACACTGTTCAGACGAACTCGTTTGCACTGAAAGATACCCGCGGCATTGTGTTGTATACATATGTTGTATAGGTAACATGGACATCAAGTCTGGGTTTGTGATTAATTAATAGTCCTACATACAATATACGTTTCATTGAGTTAACATCGTTGAGGGGTACCATGCATCCCACATGATAAAAAGACTGGTTGTTTCTAGACGCATAAATCCAAAATGAACACGAATAAAAAAAAAGAAGAAATATTGGATTAGAAAAAGGAAACATGTTATGTTTTGGCTGTCGTTTTAAAGGGAGCATTTGGAGCATTTTTATGCAAAGTATATGTTTGTTTTGCATGTTTCTCACAGATATGCAGTCAACCGCTTGGTATGTAGGAGTAAATGTGCTTAGGAGAGTTAACAATCTAAACACTTGTTTATGTGCCAGGTCAATATCCTAGGATATGGCGAAGATCTTACGATATGCCAAGGGTCAGATGAGAGAGGGTAGTTTGTTTACACAGATGAATACAGATGTTGACAACTATTTGTTTAAGTGGTTCGACTGACCAGATACAACTGTCACTTTGATCATGGGCAGGTTCCACTTTAAATACTAGACTTGCAGATTTTGCAGAGACTGCGAATATCATTATGTCGGTCAAGGGGTTAGCCCATTAAACGTTCTGGTCAGTTACCATGTGTGGGAATATCAAAGGCCCATTACCATTCTGCAGAATATGAGCCATAACAGTACATATGGCATGCTGCTCTATTCATTGCACGTCTGGACAGGGTCATTTAGAGTGTGCACTTCAGTTTATACCGGGGCGGTCGGGTAGCCTAGTGGTTAAAGCGTTCACTCGTCACGCCGAAGACCAGGGTTCGATTCCCGACATGGGTACAATGTGTGAAGCCGTAATATTGCTGGAATATTGCTAAAAGCGGCTTAAAACTATACTCACTCACTCACTCACTCACTCAGTTTATACCATCCTCTGACATGAGGTATTATTACACTGTTTGAATTGGATGCTGATGAAGTATGTTGGATATGCAGGACCCTCCTGTCGCCTAGTAAAGCCGCTCCGACCCGTGAAGATCCGGGGTAGAATAGGTCTCCTGCAACCCATGCTTGCCGTAAAAAGCTACTAGGCTTGTCGTAAGAGGCGACTAACGGGATACGCTGGTCAGGCTCGCTGACTTGGTTGATGCATGTCATGGTATCGCAACTGTGTGGATCGATGCTCATGATGTCAGTCACTGAATTGTCTGGTCCAACTCGATTATTTACAGACCGCCGTCATATAGCTTGAACATTGCTGAGTGCGGCGTAAACAACAAACATAATCAAACCAAAACCGCCTCAAGTATGATTCTTGCCCTCCCTGCGCTTTTCGGTTTTATCAAAGTGATCACGCCTACATTATGCTTCATGCTGGCCCTTCTAACCACATCATGACGATGCGGTGAGATGGGGTTGAACGTCGCGTTTAAGAGTATTGCCGGTTTTATGGTGCTAGCCCACTAAGATACCATTCCGCAGTCTAACATGGATACCCAACTCAGACAGAGTATACTGATTTCAGCCCGACCAATTATTGCTTTATCCGATGTATGCCGAACACAATCAGGGTAACAAGTATCATTTTAAACGTCATTTGGTATGACGCGGCCGAATCGAACCGGCGACCTTCCGCTCCCCGGGCAGACGCTCTACCACTAGACCACGGAGGCGGTCACCACATTTTTGTCACTAGCCGCGATATTCTTCTAGGTTACTATGTGCGAGGGGCATGCCTATATTATTACATTTTGCTAGTATTTATTGAGCGTTTTACTGTAAGTGAGTATGGAATAGCTAGGATGTGCTGACCACCGGTAGAGACGGATACGCTCACCTTTTCGCGAACACCTGTATTATCACTAACTAGTGATTCCTAACACGTGCTTAAGATATAGTCGGAATATTACAGATTTCTAATGATTGTTGAAATGTTTTTGTTGGTTTCATTAATATATGCAATGATCAGAAATAGGCTATTTTTTGGTACCTGTAGGTCTGAGAAACCTATGATTAAAGAGGGTTTCTCCTCCTTGTATATTAGACATTGCGGTGGCCAAAGTCATAAGTTTTCAGTACCAGACACTAAAAGTCTGGAAGTTGATCAGACTTGAAAGAACGCGGTAATGTGTTGCATGTGTGAAGTCTCTTATCGTGACAGCTTAACTTAATGGTCATTACACAAGTATAGGTTGGGCGTAATTTACATGTGTTTTTTACCGTTGAAAATAAAATCACGTCTCAAAACGTGAGACTGTCGACCTAGTAAACTAACCCCAACTGTAATTTTTCTACGACAAGGCACAGTTTGTTTTGAAGATCGAAAAATACGAGACAGACTGACAGCTGTAAGCCTTTACGGCCCTGGTGAAAATAGTATTGTTTTCAAGTGTACACACACACTTGAAGGACCCTTCCTGTCGCTTGTGGGCATGTACCACAACGTTTGTACATGTGGCATGCAGAATACGGAACGAGAGGATGAGAGAGTGAATGTTGTAGCACGTTGCAGTCAGACGTATTACAGCTGTAGCACGACGACCTGTACTTAATCGAGTCTGGATTAGAAGACCTTTGGTTGATCCAATGAACAACAACTGTACGCGCCATCGGGATACGATGACACATTGTGTCGACCTGGCCTAAATACGTCAGTTGTTACTGAAAACATGGAGTACTGCGGATATTTATTGTGTAAAAATTGATTTACCCACTTCATCGCCTTTTGGAGTACAATGTATATATATATATATATATATATATATATATATATATATATAGCTAAGATAGTTACGCGATAAATTGCAAAGAACAATGTAGAACAAAGCGTGGTTTATTTCACGATAAAACATTGTTCTAACATGACGTCATTTCTGAAGATCGAACATGCGCTCGCAACTTAATGAAGTCGCATATTGGACGACGTTATTTTTTAGAGGGACGTTTCTTTGAGTTATTCCCCATAGATATAGCTGGACAAGGCAGATCGATCGCACCCAACATTTGGAGTAATATGACAATAGGTATTGGGAGGAAAGATGCAGATAATCAACGTGAAAATTGTGAGAATACCAAACTTAACCTCCCTGTACATAAATTACATTGAGTTGTCCGACATTGCCGAGGTCGGATTGTATTCGGGGAATCATCATCATTTAAAGACGGGTAAATGTTTTTAAAGCTTGTGAAATTTATTGACATCCTTAAAGAGACTGTACAAAATGTTGATATCTCATCTAAAAAATAAACGACTCGTGGTCGTTGTATATTCTTAAATATATATGTATGCAGTAAGAACCGACATACATCTGTATTAGGACACAGTGTGTCATCTTATTCCAAAAAGCAGTGACGTGGTTAATCAATCTTTACACTGTTGAACATTGGGTTGTCTGCTCTAGGTCGCCGTGTTACAGCCGAAATATTGCTGACTTTGGTGTTTACTCATTCACCCACACACAAGCCGGCTTCTTTACACTCTACGCCAGTATGTAAATGTTCATACAGTGTAGCGAGACCTCCAATTCAACTGATAACAATCCATGTAGCTCCCTCGTACTCAAACAAGTTCCCGATTATCCTGAATCTGTATACACTTAATAGGTATAATTCGACCTTCGTCGCAGCGTCATGGTCCTTATGTAGAAATGGGTTCCCATACTTGGCCTATTTCGATTCAGCAGGATCTCGTCTCTAGTACAGCGGCCTTTCTAATCATGTCACTCGGATACTTGTCGTTCTAGAATGCCATAAACATTCCATTACGGCTTCTTATGTGTTTGACAATGAAAAAACGCTATGAGCGATATAAACAATGTCTGTTCCTCACATTAGACCCGTGCATAACGTAATCATATCTTTTGTCTTCAGGTCAGGGCCAAAGAGGAGTCGGAAGGAACACGTGAGTATTTGACTGTTCACAGATTTGGTTAGCTACGAAATGTTTTGAGGTTCAGGGACATCCTACAATGTAGGGGCCAGTCTGAGGATCAGTAAATCCTGATGCTGCTCATCCTGTGTGACGATGCGAGCCAAAACAGTGTGGAGCACAATAGTTTATTTGTCTCTGACTTGTTTATTGTTCATTCACAGAGCCGTAACTTGTTGCCCCTTAGGGATACTAGACATCTGTGATCGTGGGTTCGAATCCCTGATTTGCCCTGGTCTTTTGATCCCTGTTAGTCAGCTCCCGGATTACACCAAAGTTGTAAAGACCTACGTCACTTAAACCCTTCCTCAAGCTGACACATGGCGATACACCTGTATATATGAAATACTGTTAAAATCGGTGTTCAGCCAAACTCATTTATTCATATAGCGACAGCGGAATGCTTTCATATTACCTTCTAAGACGTTTCATTCACAGCTTCGTATTCCTCACACGCCTCTGTGTCCACATGAACGGAAGTTTAGAGGTGAAGGACAACAGTTTGCTATGGCCAATCTTCAGGTGTTACAGTCTGCAAGAATCGCTTAGAATAGTTAAGTCAGCGTCACGGCGTACATGCGTGTAGCGTCATGCATCTACAAACTGTTAAAAAGAAACCATTTCTGCATCGTTGCACGCTTTAAGCACAGACAGTATCACTTAATCTCATCTGAATAACAGTTATAACTCTGAAAAGAATGACGTCTATTACTAATACTAGCATGTCATATGTCAAGCGTCTCCAGATTTAGCTTGTCCATAAATCACAGATAGAAAAACGGCTGTTAAGCGTAATGGGAACAGACTTTAATACATTACAAATAAAATGCCGTGAGTGTAAGCACCCATTACATGTGCCTGATTACCTACATGTTCGCTTGGGTGCACTCGAACAGATTATGCTATCGTATCATGAAAATCAACATAAAATATGTGCATTTAATTCATATAACACCTTTTTTTACCCTCATCAAAGGAAACTAGTCCTATATGTAGTACCGAAACTGTTGCAGGTGCATCTAATGATAATTTTATAATTTGAAGTTTACACGATATACGGCTTTTCCATTGGACGAGAGGTCGGTCACATGGCCGCGAAATTGACGTTCATAAGTGTTCTTGAAATGACGTAAACACCGACGGACTACTTCCACATTCTTGGGGGAACCCCTGGGAATTCCCCAGCACGAATAAATACAGAAGCGTTGTTTCTCATCATTTAGAACCTTATGTCTTGAACTTAGCGTTTGAGCATACATTGGGATAAGTCAGAGAGTTTGATTGCATGTCGGTTCAAGGATATCCTCGGTACTATCTATCTTACAGAACAAAACGAAGAAAATCAGTCAGTGGCTGTCAGTGTAAACATGAAGTCACACATACTAAATATAATTGTGTATAGAACAAGGTCTATCTCTTTTGAGGTAAAAATAGTGATATAAAAAATATAAGAATTTCACTTTGTGTGAGTTCATTGGAGTATGCAGTTCATACAGTTTGGCCCTCACTCTATGAAGGTTCATACTCCAATGAACTCACACAAAGTGAAAGTCAATTCTTAATTAAACACCAGTGCAGTGTACTGTAATAATTGCATTGCATTATCTGCACCCAATCTATACAATGCCCATATAGCGTTAGTACTATACAGGCAGACAAACTTATTCGGTACTTCAGGCCACCGGCCCTTAATACAATGGAAATATACTGTATATATATTTGCATATATATGTGTATAGTACTATACACATGTATAATTATATAACTGCGGTGTATATATATTATGGTGGACCCGTGAAGATCCGGGGTAGAATAGGTCTTCAGCAACCCATGCTTGCCGTTAAAGGCGACTGTGCTTGTCGTAAGAGGCGACTAACGGGATCGGGTGGTCAGGCTCGCTGACTTGGTTGATGCATGTTATCGTATCCCAAATGCGTTGATCGATGCTCATGATGTTAATCACTGGATTGTCTGGTCCAGACTCGATAATGTACAGACCACCGTCATATAGCTGGAATATTGTTGAGTGCGGCTTTAAAAAACAAACGAACAAACAATATATTGTGGTGAATTTCATCATTTTGACTATACATAATTAGATAAAGATTTGCCTCAGCATATGTTTATCAGAAGTAGGTTCCCCAATATCGCTCTCAAGGCCATCTTTCAACACAACATCAATTGTATGGCTATCAACAAACACAATATTTCTTTTTTATCTTGTCGCCATTGTTATTCCTTACTAAGTCTTATTTCTACCTCAGTACGTGCCAGTCAAAGAAGCATAAAGCAAACCTTTACACTAATACAGATTCAACTGAAGCAGTATTTCTAGTCATGCTTTCTCGAATCCGTTTGTGTTAGTACGTCCCCATGAGGATTCCCGAACAGAATAGGTCAACGGAATCTCGTGGTAACCGGAATGGGGATCGGTTGACCACAAAGGTTACCAAGTGCAGAGAGTATTTTGAAATATTTTCCCACCTGAAAATACAACTGACCCTGCTGACTGCCTGTCATCGTTTCTCATCGACATGGATATTTGGTTGTGTTGTACCACAACAGCATTCAAGCGCACCGGCTTAGTTCAAGGATACTAATAACTACGTTATAATTGAATCACTCACTCACTCGTGAATATTATCTGCAATATACCGTAATTCGCTTTTACTTCATTTTTAAAATTTTAAAGTTGTTTTCTTTGTCCTTTTAACAATAAACTGTAAATATTAGACTGAATAACATATTCGTTTTATAGTTATCAAGAAAATATCACCACTGTTTAGTTTTTTATAAAGTATTCAAGGCGTAACCCCCATTTATGTCATTGCAATAACAACAGAAACATTTTTTTTCTTTTCAGTAGTTTATCGTTGTCGGAAATGTTGTGGGTATGTCCTAAAAAGCAATGATTTATTTTGTATTACGGCATTCCAAAGGGCGCTGAATTCGTGGTAAAACTCTTAAACCTGCTCATATATTTCCCACAAACTATAAAACCCCTAAAACAGCAGCGTTAGAAAACAGTAGAAATGCAAGTTAACGCTGAACAAACATCTCATGAACACGAGATGCATTTGAACCTTGCATGTTTCTCATTCAGTTGACGCGCTCACATCGTGCCTTGACACATTTGCCAGTTGCAGGAGTATCGTTACACAGCTATACATACCGCGACTTACTCACAGTGGTGATGGTAGTTTGAGATGAACGTATTAGATGCAGATTTTTCCTTTTTAAATTAGCAACTCATATCATGTTGTCAAATACAGTATAGTATTATACACATTGATCACAGAAATAATTGTATAAATATACTTGAAAACGGCATGGACTTGCTGATGTTTGAACCAAATCGTTGCGACCTCCTTCTCAGACATCAGACCATCTGAGTTCTGCATGCAGTGTTTTGACCTCAGTCACGAACGATTTTGAGCACCGATGCCTCACAGTGAAGGAAAAACCTTAACAAAGGCGATTAAAAACAACACTGTCACTGTGCAAGTCTATATTTCAATAGGTCAGTGTGAATTTCTTTCTCAGCTCCCTAGGGAGTACACAACCCAAACTGCCTTTTTGGCACCAGAAAGTACACTATCCCGTAATCATGTGATCTTACCGGGTACCCACTCACTGCTGGGAGATGTGAGGCATATTTTGAACAAAGTCGTTTAGGGGACGCCACATATTCTACTTTCTAATGATATTCGTAGCATTTATATCTACAATGTACACATCATGCACCATATGGTGCAATAATGTTATATATTCTTTAAACATTTAACCAAAGGCGCTTGCCTGTAAGCTTCAAACATATTAGTTCTTCCGCTACTGGTGGAATCTGTTAGCGGTAATTAAAAACGCGTGATTACGCCAATGAGGTAAACTAATTATCCATCACTTCTTTTGCCTTGTTGATGTTACACCGAGTGTTATGTCTTTATGTCAACCGACATATTATATGGCCAATCATACGGAGTTTGTTAACTTGTTTAGCAAACGTAATACTGTCACTCGTTCAAAGTCTTTGAGCTTCTCGATACTTGTCAAATTTTAAAGTTTTATTGGTATCTAGGCCTCTGGTCCATAATATCTGTACAGTATGAGTGTGTGAAATTTAGTGAACATATACATGCCCTTTAGAAAATTGATATTTTCAAACAAAGCTTTCGCAACAACAAAAACAAAACAAAATTTATTTGATGCAAAGAAATAAAAGTGCGCATTTTCCCTTTGCATTAAAGAATTTGTGTGTAAAGGCCATCAGATCCCATGAGCACTAATACGTATGAAGTTCTCGTCTTGTATTGATATTCTCTCCTTGAACAAATAAATAACTCCGAATGGTAACTTTATCTCTGTTTTGTGTAATATGTCACATACAAATGTGCATGAACGCATGCTATTACAGCAAGGATGGACAGTTGTATGTGGTCATGGACTGCAGATCCAGGGTATTTTCCAAACTCTTTTATATTGTTGTAATTCTATTTCCTAAATATTCCTATGCATATTGATATGAAATGCTTCATATGCAACATATGTTTTACATTTGAACATAATTAGATTTGTTTCGACGGCAAAGTATGTTAAGATTCAAACACATTCCCTCACTCAGTAGCATGCAGTAATCGTGATGTCCCCGTCTTGTGTGGACATGTTCTTCACAACGAGCGTGACGAATGTGTCATGCGTTGCACTGAAGTTCAACTTTGTAAGACTTATTCCCGGAAGTAAATGTGTTGCGTGATCTTTATAAGACGGGGAGAAACATTATTTTGGTAGTCTATTTCTATGACTATTTTATTAGCCAGCTGCCCGCTAAGGATTCACTTTTATTTAACGACTGATAACTTCGCACTGGGCCTGACAATAAGTGTCATCTTGTAGCATTTGGTTTGCTATATCAAACCACACTTCGTATTCTTCACTGTTGTGCTAAAATACTCAAACCAAACACGAGTATATGAATTTGCTTAAGATAATATATACATATGCTTCGTTCAGGTCCAGGCTTTTATCGGGACACGGGTGGCCCAGTCGTCTAAGGCGCCGCGATTCGCTGTGCAGAGTTGCGTCCCTTGGGCACGCCAGAAACCTATGATTGTGGGTTCGAATCCAGGTTCGCCCGATTATGTTTCTAGGTTTGTCAGCACCATACCCGTGCACGTTGATTTCATCGAAGTGGTAAACGTCTGAGACCTGCATCACTTCGGGCTTTCCTCCCACATTTAGCTGACACGCTGTGTTATAACTGGAATACTGTTAAAAGCGGCGTTAAAACAAACTCACTCGCTCACTCACTCCAGACTTTTGAATGCCGTGCTGGTTGTGTTTATGTGTCACGGTACCCTCTGATTGATCTATTCACATGTCTTTGCCGGTTAGAAAGCCAATAAGCTATAAATACAATTACATAGCAACTATGTGATACCCTAGTTATTAACGTCTTGCACACTTCCTGTAATCAAAGCTGGAGTATGTTTTACTTGTGATTAAATACCCCCTCTTTCACATGTATTCAAGAAAGAAAAATAACAACCATTTATCAGAAAGTTAAGAAACCACGTTTTTCTGTCAAGCTTGCATATCTGCTGCATTTACATAGACCTGCTCGACAGTTGGGTAACGTAGTAAGCGATAGTGCCGGTAGCACAGCTGGAGGCAGGGGGGAGGGGTAGGGGTAGGAAGGGGGACTTCCGACATGATTTCTGTGTAGCCTTGGCAAACTGGTGAGGTACATGGGTGACACGCCTGGCAGAGTGCCGGTGGCCCGGATACATCGAAAAGTTACAAACTTGTAAAGGAAATGTGACAGTTTTGAGTTTACGGCCTAGTTTGACAGTATCTCTGACACGATTGACTGTTTAAAAATACACCCCTTCGAATAATACAAGCCGAAAAAACCTTTTGGGCGTAAAAGGGTTAACATAAAACTACAATGATGAATTCAACTGTTTACAAATAAAGGTGGTTATTAGTTACAGCATTTTCTGTTTATGGTTTTCAATGTGGTGGGAAGTGTTAGCGTTTACAGGTAATCACCAACATTGGATTCAAATGTACCAGTCATCAGTCAACGTTAATCCGCTGTAGGGCAATAGATAGCTTAACTGTGGACATCTGACCTATATTATGTGGCGAATGCGGTGATGTTGCTGTCAAAATGATGCCGCTTGTCTGGCTCCCCATGTGCGTGGATGTAGATTGTCTGATATATATTACTGATCACAGCAGTGGCGTCGTAAGACATTTACAATAAACTGAAAAGTATACATTCATGTTTGTTTGATGGTGGTGAAAATGAGACAAACAATAAATGATTATTTCGATGATGATGTCTTTGATGCGGGTATCATAGGCGATTTTACACGCTTCACATCAATGAGTATCTCACAACAGGCGACTGTTTTCAGCCCAGTAACGTTAGTGTTCTTAATGTTAGTGGGATTTAGTTTTGAAGTTAGAGTGATTGCATTTAAGATTCCTGGTTGACTTTGTCGTCATGTGTCAAAGGTAAGCTAATTCCTTGCTCGTTATACACTCAGCTGTTATAATGACATTATCTTTAGAGTATCTTAGTGTTGCATAAGTTGGAACGCCTTATCATCTGCCTCACTGAATACCTACCACGGCGTTATTCATATCACCCCCTAAACCCCACGCTCCCAGATCTGAACACCAAACAAAGTCAAAAGAAGCAAACAGCCTTTGTGTCAAGCCTGTGAAACTCAGTAACATAATATGACGCCATAGTAACAATCAGCGTCCCGACCTCTTTCGTCAAGAATCATCGCAAGGTGGCCGAAGAGATCTCATGAATCATGAAATACCTAATTCTATATTCAGATAGTATATGTATTTAAATACGATTTACATTCTAACTGCAGTGTCATGGAAACTATTCACCACCAAATTGATAGCTCCTTAAGTTAAGCTCAATACAAACAAACTTTCACAGAGTTCCTGATTTTTGCTTGGTAACCGCCGGTCTCACGTTGTCGTCTTTAGGTCATCGTCTGAATGCAAATGTTATCATAACCTAATGAAAGTCTTCCTCTGAGAATACATGCACTTCTACGAAGTACAGCGTATTGAAACCTTCCCCCAGCGTAGTGAATGACCACCCTGAAAGACATATTCACAACGATTTGTCCGCTTGGGTGGACCCGAACAGCATGGGTTTGTCTGGTCAGAGTGACAAGGAAGACGCCCAAACGGGGCATAACATTTACATCGTTTGTAGTGTATAGATTCGTTCTGAATTCTGTCTGCTTGTTATATTATCCACACACCTAGGTGTATAGACTCACAGATGGGTGGTAGATGATGTTTGTATGGGAAAGGTTTTCTACTCGCTTAGACAGCAAAACGAACCGTGTGGGTTTTATGAGGCTGATCAGCTGCTGAGGGTTTTACGAAACCTTCTTTCACGATGGTTATCGGAGCATCGCGACATATCAATTCCTATGACAAGCCTATGTAACGATATCGGCGAGGTATATGCACGTTTCATTACAGTGTAATCAGAGTATGATTAATGTTGTCGACCTCCAATTTGGAGTGAGTGTTTACGTTACATGACCCTGCTGAGAACTTCAGTTTCTTTTATTTGCGTTTATGCAAAATAGACAAAATAATATCAACGCTGCCTTTTAATATGACAAGCTGTCTCCTCCCTACCGAACTGTCGCCTATAATTGTGGCTTGAAATATGGTCTTGGGTAACAGGACCCCCTTCTCACGTTAGTCTTGGTCTAGCTATAAATGTGCATGTATATATTTGACGTCGGTTTCATATATACTACTCAAAAGATGTTAAAGAAGACTTTCGTATGACTATAGTTAAAAATGCCATGACATGAAAAAGTCAGACATGACATGACAGATTAACTATAGCCACATGAACTTATCCCCTTTTTTTCAACTTCTGCCATGAGTAGTATTTATGTCAAGCAGTCAAAGTCTGGAAAGGGGCATGGTGAGGAGTAGTGGTTAGATGTCTGCCACGCCGAAAGCCCGGGTTCGATTCCCAACATGGGTTTAATGTGTGAAGTCAGTTTCATATATCCTTCGCCCTTATATTGCTGGAGTATTGATGGACAGTGGCGTAGAACCTAATTCCCTTTCTCCTTCTACACCTTGGGGAATTCACCCGCCATAGAGTGTACATTTCCACTTCGTTAAATAAATACCTTAGGTAAAAATATAGGTTCAGTTATACTGCACGATCCAGGGTGTCAGATCTATAACTGACAATCCACTGGCTGTGTGTACAATGTAACCTCGTCCGGACGATTACTATAGGGATTGTCTATACAAATGAACTATAGCATTACACAGTACTCATGACTCGTTTAGCCGGAAAGATATTAATCCGGCCGATTTCACAGTCAGTATTCGGATTAACGGGGTGTGACTATATTACCCGCTTTGACTTGCACTATAAGTGGTACACACACACACACACACACACACACACACACACACACACACTACCATCTATATCAACTATTCAATGCCACTCAAGCGTTTCTACTCATGAACTAAAACAAAATATCGCAAGTAAATTGACATGAGTGAATCCATGACATCAGCTTGAGTATGTTGGATGTTTATGCATGCTATTATAAGCTTTGCAATTGGAGATATGTGTATGTATTTCTTTCTGTTTTCAGGTCTGCCCTTCAAGCCACCATGCCCCGTCCAGAGAATGGAGATTACTTTCCCTCATGTCATAGACATTCAGGACAAACACGTTAGGTCAGAAATCCCTGGTAACACGGCGTATAGGAGTGGTGCGCCTATATCATCAGATCTACCCGAGGCCTTTTTCTTGGAGGTTTCATGGCGAAGGCAAAAGGTTCAACTGGCTCTGTATCGATCGCAGATCTCACCGCCGAATTCCTTCTCAGAATGGGACGATGGTAACGAGACATTTGTTGAAGTCATCGACGACAAGTGTTTCTATCATGGTTATGTCAAAGGTCAAAGGTCGTCATACACAGCTGTTTCCACATGCAGTGGCGTGGTAAGTTAAATTGCCACTTTTGAAATTCAAATGGCTCATTTTCTTTGTCATATATAAAGGTTAGCATAAGGACCTGACACCGACAGCAGGATGAGATAATGTGACGTAATAGTGTGATTCCTTTATATAGTTTCATTTTGAATATGTACATTCCAAAACGATTACATCAGACTACGAAGGTTTTGTGTGAGGAGGTTGAATGAATTTCAGTGGAGGGGATAGCCTCACAACTAGTCACAAGGGTAACAATCAGCTTTTAACATTCAGATATGTTGACAGTTCAATTGAAGATGTTTGTCTCTGGGCCTTATTCGTTTTTAGTTGCCCCATCGGTGGACCCGTTACAAACACACGCAAAGGCTAGTCAGGCCAGGTTCACCTGAAAAAAACCCAGGGGAACAGATGCGAATTGATTCGGACAAAAGATTTGTCAATTATTGTTTCTGCCATAAACCGTTTTAGGAAGGCGTTGTATGGATGTAACCCGGATCAAACGACTTTCAAGCAAGAGTCGTATGACGGTCTTGAAATCTTCGGAGCAAAATGTATGTCCAATGGTACCTGGAAAGTTGTGAAATATAGATACCAAAGGGAATTGGCCATTTGACCATTATTGAACGATAGCAGATCAGCGATTTACCCGAAGATTAAGTTGAATTCCTTGGCCAAATTACAGTTTGTTGAATTTGCCAATCCGAGCAGAATATTCGACTCGTATGCCCAAAAAGACAGATCAGCAAGGAGGGGAGCACATATGGTGCCCATGGGGATGCCTACTTCTTGTATATATGGCACGTATATGTTATAAGTGAGGAAGCCCATAATTTCTCATATTGTTTTTTGAGTAAACTTCAGATGACATTTGCTTTCATATCTAAAAAAGTGTCCTGAACCTTTGAGGATAGAAATGTGACGTAATTATACATATGGTCACATTTTGTGATAACCACACCATGGATAAGGTTTTCCTTTTAAGTTTGCCGTGTGTCCTAGTGGTCATGCTTTGACAGAAATATCGAGCATCCTTTGAATCTTTGAGAATGATATAAAAAACATCCGTATAGTCACTTCTCATAGTCTTCTTTTAAGTTTTGAGGGAACGGACACGTTCATGCAAAATCTGTTCAAATGAATGCGTGTTATGTTGGTAATTGGTAAAGAGTCTTGCTTTGACGTTCCCTATCTCTGAAATGTACAGCAATATGCCCATGCATTAGGATTCATGTTGATTTATCTTAAATAACTCCAAACTGTGTTATATCAACTTTCATCGGTGAGAGAACTGAAATTGTTTAAAAGTGGATATCCTATATTTACCAGTAATAAATAGCAATTTAGAATTCCGTACGAGGAGTTTCACACATAGATGTAGATGTAGACGACTCTTGTATGTCAACAGACTTTAGACTTTTTCATGTAATCATCATTTGCTTTTCATAAATGAACCTTCGTTAAAAACTATCCCTTAAATATGGTTTGCGTACAAGTGTTTCAGTATGAACGTACATTTGCAAGGACAATACTCTCCCGCGGCCGTTTACCTAGTCCCGTGACATTGTGTGTTGCTGATTGCTGATTGTCCGAAACGTAAATTTTACCAAATGCTGAAACAGCAAACGAGATGCAGAACCAGACTCAAGCTTGTGTTTATGTACACTCTATAACACGGGGACCAGCCCAATGAAGTCTCACCTCAGCCTAACCTTTCAAAAGAGACAATTCGAAATTCTCAAGTACATGTTTAATGAGGGGTATTTTTGTAATAAGTTAATCTCATGTCTCCGTTTGGCACATTATTCGTATGGATAATCTTTTTTACATTACATGTATGACGGGCCCGCTTGGTTTACGTTCAGTGAATATGGAACGTCGTGGCAAATTAATGTAGGGTTTCTGTTAATGGCGATCATGAAAAGGTCCCTCTTAATTGAAGAGTCAGCACATTATTAGGTTTCACCGCCCTTTACGCCAAATGGAATCTGTTTCGTCGGATAATCGAGAATGGTTATTCCCTGTTGTTGATGTTCTATATTTATAAGCAACAGGCTAAACGATGGATAAAGGATAACTAAGGCCAAACCGAAGTAAACTAAATATAAGCCAAACAATAGGTTTGGGGCTATTTTTAATGCATTTCATTAGAACTAAACAAATCTTCAGCTTCATTCTAAAAAAAAGAACCACGTGCCTTTGTTCTTTAAAAAATGGTTACTTTAAAGACAGTGGTAACTGTAATTGTATTCTTATAACAGATTATTATATGATATCCATCCTCAACTGCTAACACGCACAAGGAATATGAGTCACTGTAGATTAGGGAAATCTATTTGGAGGGTCTTCACCAGGACACTGAATGCACCCAACTTCAGTGGTATCTGCTTTAAGCGTGAAGGCAATTCTGAAGGTGTGGGACTGAGAGGTGTTGAGTGCGTTTTGGTGCGTGATGTCCTTCCTCACAACCAGCAGATGTTGCTCACTCAGATCTCAAGTTCCAGATGGGGTTTTAGGGGTCATCACGACCTTTGAGGTACCCATGTACCATACTTTTCCGAACCTTAAACATTACCATTATCCAGTATAAGTATTAAGAGCATATAAAGCAACAATCCTACTTTTTCCTTGAGGATCTAATGTATATAGTGTTTAACTGGGTTGGGGATGAACCATATTGACTCTCAAGAGTTGCTTAGAAGGTTGTGTTCTTTACAGACATTTACTGGAATGTCTTGTTATTTTTATTCCCCAATACATATGTACAGCAGTTTATAAGAGACATAACATTGAGTTGTGAGTTGTGAAAACGCAATAAAGGCTTTAAGCCACATTGGTCTGTCTTCCCCTGTCGTTTGTTACTCGGAGATTGAACAATCGGTAAAGCCATATAGAAGCTTCACGAATCGTATTTATTGTGCATTTTGGTTATCCATTAACTGATATGAACAGTTACATTTGCCTTTCAGTATATGTTCTTTCCATGTGCATGTTAATGAGGTTACTAAAGCTATGTTTTTTCGAGATCCTGTTTTTGTTTCTGAACGCTGCAGTATTTACATTACAAGACTCCTCTACAGCGACATTTCACAGACATGTTTGACTTGTAACCGATATGAACATGTATCTGCCATGTGTTGTTCTCACACCATGTAAGTCAAGTACATAGAGGGCAGGTCTGTTCGCTAAAGAGACGTCTGGCTTTCGTTCATCACCACACAACCCCCGCCACCCGAATCCGCCTCCAACATATACACACACACCCAAAAATTCTATGCGATCGAAGGAAAAGGATTCACGCTCCAATGCATATATCAACTGAAATGACAAACTGTCCAATGTAAACGCATTTGCAGTTTATGATTAGTTTCTACATAATCAGCTATTCAGTATTCATGTCGGACCGTCTCGACCCAAATCTCTTCAGAATTGGTCCGCATAATAAAATATTTGACTGACAATTACACCGCAACCTTCTCACGGCTTTTAGAAATCCGCGCCATCAATCCACCACCATCTTAGAAATACGTTGTTAAAGGCAGGCGTTATCTGTAGCCAGCAAGCTGTCATACTACCACAGGCCTCACCCGCTTCACCCCAATACCCACCGTTACAGTTTGACACTCCGGCTTCAGTTTGTTTGACATAACGATAATGCGTAATCTTTTGACGTCAAATAACGTCTTGTTGCTTTTTTATCCGTTTACAATTTTGGTGATACGCCGGCTTGAGGTCGTGAATATTTTCTTACATTGTTCATTGTCGCTATCATAAAAACAGTCGTTGAAGACCTTGCTATGGGTTGGAGCCACTTTGTTAGAAGACGAGAACGGATCGGATGTCAGGAGATTCGGTTGGCTATTTGAAACCTTCATATTTCAGTTTTTGGAGTTAGGAATGAATTGTTAAAAACATGCGGTACTCCTTTAAAACGGTTCTTTGATAATACCCTAATATACATGACCATGATCCATATTCCTCGTTCTGATCTAGAACGTTTTACACAACTGCAAATGCGTTTTGCAGATTTAATGTTCGTGGTTTTTATACCGTAGGTTGACAATTTGCCTTTTGGCATTTGAGGAGGATATGATTAAATGTTGGACCACAAATGTATAATCTGTCATCGCTTTCATCAGTTAGACTTCACATTCACCGCTGCTATCAAATATGTAGATGCATGCACATGCATCACGATCAGATGCTGCACACGATGAGACAAAGTTGTTTCAATCAGGACAGCGACAAACAAATTGACAAGTTCTTCATGTGACTCCCTGCCTCCACATATTTCTGCACATAAATGTTAGGGTTGTACTGTGTTAACAAGGGACAACTTGAAGTGATTCTGCCTACTCTCGAAAAGAATATTTGGATATTTGGTAATACGATATGAATAATTTGCCAAGAAGTTTTGTTTGCGGTTATGTGACCCACAGTACATACAGATGCTAAAAGATAGGCTTTTGCAACAACAAAATCTCCTGATATGTCAATTCAGATAGAATCATAAAAGGAGACGAGAGTCGAGCTGATTGGAAGTCGCTGTGATTCACGTCATTGATACTCACTTTTGTTTCTCTTTAAATGCACATTTATGATGCTTATATCAGTCTAACAGACTCACAGACGCTGGATCAGTTTGTAACAGGTCACTAATTGCAGATATCTCGGACAATGTACACCAGATCATGGACCATAGTCCCATAAACACGTCTGCGCTTGTACACTTATACATGAGACTCATAAGTATTCACAACGTCTTGTCAAATAATTTAAGAAAGAACTCTTCCGCTAGGTTCTTTTTGACAATTTCGTTATTACGGTTTGTTGCAGTGTTAAATATTGTCTCGTCACCATAAGATGACTTTACATTACATTACAAATGTCGTGACGTATCATGTTTATGTCCATTTTGGCGAGTTTACTGGTCTACTGTAAAGAACGTCCATTGGTTTTGTCAAAGACTAACCTTAGGGCACGTGAGCATAATGTTCTTCACTACGTCTGTTAAACCGACGACAGGCACCTTTTTATCACTGATAAATGGTTTATACAAAGAAAAACATGTTTTATAAATAATTATTTGTGCAACGATCTGAGCGTTTAGCGGTAATCATTGAAATGTGTCAAAATTTGAGACGGAAGCATGTTGGTATTGTTATTAATAACTGAATGAAGCCGCTAATCTTCAAACCTGAATTAAAGCGTACTTGCGGTGATGTATTTCCCTTTAAGTTGATAATCGTTTCCGTGTGTGGGATATCAACATAAAATAGAAACAAAGAAAAGGTTAGGATGAATGCAAACTTATTCATAGTACCATTACTTATTTCGTTTTGTCCTCGCTTTCCTCCGTGGTCAAGTGGATAGTTGATAGCGTCCGTCAGGAGAGCGGAAGGTCCGGGTTTCGATTGTTTCTGACGTTAACAGATTGAACAGTTTGTTTCCCGCCTTGGCTCTCGGCTTTAAGGGGATTAAACAAGCACTGGTCGCCTCGGAGTCAGTAAACTGTGTCTGAGTGAGCTATTCTTGTTAAACTGCGGCATGGTATCTCGGTGGGCCGACACACACACACACACACACACACACACACACACACACGTGCATGCACCTCACTATATAAGTGCAATAATCTTGAACGCGCCGTTTAAACCCGTTTTGCCTCACCTCACTTGAGTGTTGAATGGTAATATGTCAATACGACCACCTTTTCACAACAAACTGTCTTATTCCTGCAGGCTGGTTACATACAGACGGACGAGGAGATCCTGTTTATCGAACCAGCAGCAAACCCTCAGAGTGACTCCTCCATGCAGGCTCACGTGGTTTACACGTGTGAAGATAGGGAGCCGGCCAGTGGTACTCACCAATGGGCACCTAAAGGTAAGTGAGATTCTTGGAACAACGTAATAAAATGTTTGTTGCCATTTTTGTGAAATATTACAAAAATTCGAATGTGCGTTTTCAAATTGTGTCAGTATACATTATTTTGCAAATGTGCGTATAGTACTTCCTTATGAGTGCCCGTTTATGGTAAGTCACTGTGTAAAAGCGTCCCTAAGCGCCACGCAGGTCTTAGATGACCATGACCGATGTCCAACTGGTATAGCTATTTGAATTGAGGACACATAGATCCCCCAAAATCTGATTCGACATAACATAAAGGCCCCGGTCATGATACAAAGCTGAGAGGGGATTATTAACTGTAAATGTACCCCATGGTACACTGAACCTAATCTTGCGAATCATCTTGGCTTTAGAGCCTCACTGAGGATAACGAGACCAGGATGTGGCGTTGTAAGATGCTTCTTTTGTAGGATACCTTAATGTAGACCGGCGTAGTGGTGGCTCTTCTTGTGTAGTTAGATGAAGTTCCAAGTTAATTGCCATAATGAGAACCTTCGGTGTATCTATAATACAGGTCGTGTGTAAAGCCTGGTGTCAGACACTGACGGATTGTACACCATTGTGTTATCAAAGGACCCTCAAGGTTGTTCATAAGTGGTTCACTTCCAATAACACTATCACCCATACGATGTTGAGCCAATACTCAAATTTCCTTGAAGTAGACGAGATAGATATGTTTTTAAAACAAGTGTTAAAGATACACATTTTGGGGTGATGTGTCTAATTATGTGGAGGTACGCCTGATTAGGAATGGCATTCTCGATCACAACAAATATCCATCTCAACGGAATGTATATTGTTTTCAGTTTTCGAAATCTTTAGTTTGACGTTGACTGTAAATGTGTTAATTATCCAATAATGGAAACATGTGGTATTTTACCTTGTAAACACCGTTTGGTTTCGTTATTCAGATGGGAGGCCTTTCAGGCAGTACTTTGGTACTAATGAATGATATGGAAACTCGCGGACAACTGATTGACAGTGTCTCTGTACGACGCACTACATGTTGTTAGGAAACACTTAATGAAAACGCAAATATTGATTTATTAAAATATACTAATGAAATGGACAAACATGACATGTGACTCGTTTTTTTATTTCGCTAACATTTATATTGCGGAAAAAAACTTTCCATAATCATACATGTAATGTTCTGTTGCCAGTTATAAGTTCTATCCGAAGGAAATACAATAATTTATACACGTACTCTATATTAAAGACTAATGTATTTTCAGCCCCTGTCATTAACCGATAAGGATAACTGTTTCAGTTATCCTGAAGAGTTTACGAATGATCATTAACAAACTGATTTAATGTGTATTAGTCTGAAGTCGGGAGCACTGGTGGCCCAGTCGTCTAAGGAGCTGCGATTCGCTGTGCAGAGTTGCATCCCTTATGCACGCCAGAAACCTATGATTGTGGGTTCGAATCCCGGTTTAACCCGATTATATATCTAGGTTAGTCAGCACCATACCCGTGCTTGTGGGTTTCACCGAAGTGGTAAACGTCTGACACCTGCATCACTTCGGGCTTTCCTCACACATTAAGCTGAACCGTCGTGATATAACTGGAATACTGTTAAAAGCGGCGTTAAACGCAACTCACTCACTCACTAGTCTGAAGTCGGACACAATCAAGTTAACATGTTGATAATATTATTATATGTGAATCTCTAGTTTCCCCGATTCATGTTCGAGGAGATCTAGAAAAAAACCGAAATAACGTTTGTACATATAAATGTAAATTAGATTGACTTTATTTGTGGTTCTAATCGGACTGACGATGATGCACAATTGTATTTTAAACTCAGCATGGTATATGCCGGCAACCTGTACCCAATACATATGCGATAGCTCTCATGTGTCCAGATATATGAATACAAAAGATATATGGCAATCAGAAAATGTGTTTCAGATTCTGATGACGGTCAGATGGACGCCCACTGGAGGAGGAGAAGAGCGGCGAGGCGGAGGCCGAAGTACCTGGAAGTCTTTATGGCAGTGGCGCCATCTACCGTCCAAGTCGTAGGAAGGACGAAGGTCAAGGCCTATATCATGACTTTAATGAATATAGTGAGTTGCTTTATTCATTCTCTTTTGGAGCCAGACAGTGCGTTCCCTTTGGCTCTGGAACGTGGTTATAGGTATACTACTTTGTTGACAATATACATTAATTTTGTACATCCATAAGGACATATATTTAATATTCATACATAAAGTGATCTTCGTTTTTAACATCGTCCCAAGACAGTTCGCTGTTGATTTGTGAAACATATATGTGCGGGGTACAATACGTGTACAACATTAGACATAAGAAAATGTAAACTAAAAAATGCTATAGTTGAAAATAATATTTCACACCATAGTTAAGATTCTAAACTGACCAATAATGATCAAATTATAATATCTGAACATTGACAAATTGTCTGCTATTTACAATTAAGCATGTCTTTTTTCTCTTGCAGGTAAACTCAATCTATCAACATTCCAGTCTCGATGTGGATATACGCGTGTCTCTAGTTAGGTTGAACTTACTCAATGACAGAACAGTAAGTGATGGATGATCCATGTTTTTATCATTATCCTTGATATTTTCTTCGAACTATTTCTTCCTGATGACAACTTCATAATCATTCTAATATCATCGTCGTGTACAACAAAGTCGGGTCCAACTAAATGAAAGTTGCAAAACACTTTCCTTTACAGTAAGAAATCTCTACGAAAAGCAGACTCTATTGTGCGATTCAATGTCCTGTTTGTTGCAAGGCGCGAATATAAAAGTCGTTCATAACAGCCCAGTTGTCTGAGGCGCCGCAATTCGCCTTGGGACCCTCCAGAAACATATGACTGTGGGTTCGAATCCCGATTCGTCCCGATTGTTTCTAGGTTTGTCAGCACCATACCCGTGCTCGTGGGTTTCACTCACTCACACAACAGCTTGAGGTACACTTTACATGACATGATTTGGTTGACCGCAACGACAGAGTGAGTGAGGTATCACTCCGCGTGTGTATTTTACTACTTCCATAGCGGGGACACAAAGAATAGTGAATTGAATAGGTTTCGGTTTGATAAGCGAGTGGCCTTTAATGTACTGTGCTGCACCTCTGCCTTCATTTGTAAACAGTTGAAGCCAAACTGAGCATGTTACTTTGGCATCATCCACTTTCGGCGTAGTTAAGTATTTATGGCACCTGACGCCAACTCTGGACGTGCAGGCCGCCGTGTACACCATACAACGCTAAATTGATACTGCTGACGTTAAGTATAACGTCATTCACTCACGCACATGACTATAATGAAGTACTAGTCAATGTACCAAAGTTTTAGTTTACTGCAGAACTAACTGTACCAGTCTCGCAATGTGTAACGTAAGATAATAGAAAATGTGACTAATCAAATTACAGATATAACATGATCAATTGGCAAGAACTCCACTTCATGGGCGGATTTGACCCTGAACACGTTATGCAGCTACACGCCTTCAAGCTATGTTTGGTAAAACTCTGGAAATGTCCTAGGCTGTTGACACTTTGTGTTTTTATGTCCGAGTTTGGCTTAGGTTACTTGTTTCGTCATTGCGCTGTAATTGAGTGTAATGCCAGTCACATGTGGTTTGTCGACACTACTCAGCACATAACGCAAAAAAATACTTATGCACTATTTATTTACATACTTGTGTACTTCACTGTTAATTTGCAGTTCACTGCCAGTGTGCTAACACAGTGTTAAGTAGTCATATTGTGTAACGCTATAAGAATATTAACAGATTCGTCTTCTTCATTTAGGTCACGATACATACATTTATGTGTTATTTAGTAGTGTATAAGTTGAAGCGTATATAGTTTTTCTGTAACGGCCCCGATGTATTCAAATATGTTCCTTCAATTAGCCCCAGACATTCACGCCAGCCAAAAACAAGAGCTATTTTCGAAAAATTGTACCATAGGGAACATTTGGTTTGTTATTTTGTTCAAAATAACATAAAAAAACACTTATAAGTTTCGATACATTTGTTTTGCCCAAACCATTTGGACAAGATACAAAGAGATCAGAAATAATAATGACGATAATTCGAGCCACAAGTGGTTTGCTATGCTTTCTATTACCGTTTTTAGCAGTGAATTCTTCATTCAGACTTATGCTGAAACTACATGTGTAAAAAAATGTTATGTGTCAGTGACTCGAAATTGAATTAGACTTGTTGACCTGCTGTAACAAGCACACTTGTAAGTCATATCACGACTAGGCGCTATCTCGCTAATTAGGTCTTTAAGCTATCGTTTGTCACATAACGAGATAACCTTTCCAACTACAGTTGTCCGTCTTAACGTGTAACGCCAATCATGGTATATATATAGACCATGGTAATTCGCCTATCTCACTATATGATTAGTCTTAGCATTATGTATTTCCATCTTTGGCAAGGCAAATTAAAGCTATGGAAATCAACTATTACTGACACGCTTTCAAGCGTGGAGTAAATTGCACCGCGATATTTGAATAAAGTGACCCTTTTCGGTCCTTCTACCAGATAACAAGGTAGCTTTTTAGGCAAGTGTACAACATATTCAATTTAGCTTTAAATTATTTTGCACAAAACCTGCACTGGCAGATATTTGTGCGTAGCCTCGTCTAGTGAACCTTCTCGCCTCGAATAAAACGTAAGGCTCAGTCATATAGCATAACGCAGCAGTGCAATTGATTATTTATGGAAAATACCTATCAACTTTATATTATTTACGGGCCCTATACACTCTAATCCTTCCATTCTGTATGCATGTAGACACTTGTGTGGATTTTGTATTATACATCTATGGGTCATATTCCTTAAAACTTATGCGCTAGGACGTCTATGAATATTCAGGATCGTGTGTGCCTCTCTTGAGTGTGTGTCTCTCTTGAGTGTGTGTCTGTGTGTGTGTGCCTCTTTCTGTGAGTGTGTGTGTTGAGTGTGGTTTGTAGGTGTGTGTGGGTGTGTGTGTGTGTGTACCACTTCTAGTCCAAGTCAAAGCGCGTAATATAGTGAAACCCCGTTAATCCGAATGATGACTGTAAACTACGGTTATAACGAACACACTTATAACGAACTGACGGACATAACGAACTTACTCTTTTGGTCCCGACTATTTGCTGTAGTTATGCTGTATATATGCTTATAACGAACTACGGTTATAACTAACTAAAATTAATGGTCCCTTTGAGTTCGTTATAACCGTTGTTTACTGTAGATCGGATTAATAACTTTCCGGCTAAACGAGTCATGAGTACGATGTAATGCTGTGTATTACAAATGGATATTGACTGGTTATTAACTGCAACTATTCATTTTCTCCCAGGCCGATAGAGTGACAGTTAGACGGAATGCTTATCAAACGGTCCGGAATTTCTGTGAGTGGGCAATGTACCTGCATAAACCTTCAGATCCTCAGACCCACGACATTGCAGTCTTACTGACCAGAGAAGACATCGGCCCAGCAGGTAGGTACAGATGTTGGCCGAGAGCTGGTGACGCGAGGTGTTGTCTGGAAAAGATCTTTCGATCTCTAAAATGTTATAGATCTTGGAAATATGTGTAACGTTTAAAGAACCCTCAGCAATTAATAGGAATATTAACCGTAGGATGTATTATTTAATGTACAATGTGTGATAAGACCAGCTGCCTCCCTAACATATCTTATAAGATATATATAAGAACATTTTTAAATGGATATGAAAGTATCATCTAGGTTCATGAATATGACTGAGAATATTAAACCATACAAATGTGGAGAAACGGATGCAGTTTGTCAGTTTGATTTTAGAAGATTTCAGGAGGCGTTTTTGTTATATGTTCACACGGGCATGATTATCTTAGCAATTGACATACACTTGAAAAATGTGGAAAAACATCATTTTGGGTCACCTACTTCCAATACAAATAGCTTCCACTCATTTTAGTTTACTTTTCACGTGAGTATGTCCGACCAGTGCAAGGATAGAAAGAAAGACTAGTTGTCAGTCATTTGAACATAACATTTCCGATCTTAATTTCCTGACATAATTTCAAAGTTTGCCTGGGACCAAAAAGGGCCAGAGTCATACCTTGTATTTGCACCTAAAAATATCTCTTCTCTGTCATATACGTATGTCGTCCTTTACTCATGTACTCAGAGTTAGCTGCATACAATCAAATGCAGTTCAGCAACTGATTTACCGACACTGGGTCAAAGAAATTAAAAACTCGTAACTTAAGCCTAACTCTATTAGCATATTTGACACATCTGTATTTTGCGGTATTCAAAAAAGACATAATGGGATATTGCATACTTGGTGATAATCCAACCACGACTTTGACGAGATCGCTTCACGTCTGAGTCTTTATTCTTGAAGTATTTCTTAAACGATGATGATCCTTCTGTCCATATTATAACAGCGGGTTTCAGCTTTCTCAGGTAACAAAGGAACGAATCTCAGGTGAAACGAGTTTTCAGCAGGAGGTATGGTTGTCCAAATTGCATTATGTAAAATTAATTGCAACGTCATGGGGGTCATGTAAATTCTGTGTCTGATGTTATTGTTGAACAACCTGTAAGAATATAACATAACATTCCTTTGGATTACGCAAAGGGGCTTATATATGGAAAAATATTCACTCTTTATTTAAATGTTTTGGGAGCAGTTAAATCAACGTGCGGACATTGAGAGCAAAATTGCCGGGCAAAAGAACATCTACCATGTTAGATGTGGCTGAGATGAAACCGACAAGACGTGGTAATACGATGGTGATGTGTTTGACACAGCTATCACAGTTAAGTTTTGGATTTAAGTTTGCAGTTTTAAGTCGACTGTTTTAAGCCTAGTGTATTTCTTAATAAGATGTTCATGTTGTGGTCAAATCCAATTTTCAAGTGTATATTTTCTTTCGCGTCGTAGTTTGTAAAAGTAAATAACGTTCATCAAAGAAACTCTTAAATTAAGATTAGTACACAACAAAGATAAAGTTCTCCAAATGACGATGACTCGCATCTAACAGACTTAGTCAGCAATGTCAGTACGAATGTACTTGTGACGCTAAAGTATTTGTGATTAATTTACCAATTTGTCGTCTACTGTAGGTTATATATTTTAGCTTAAAGTACTTCTGTCAAGGTCTTTTGAAATCTGATCAAGGGCACTTACCCAGACAACCCGAGGCCACCTTTGCCATACCTACATCAGCGATTTGCTCTCAGGCAGAATCTTTCATGGTGCGAATGCACTGAGCAATGAAATAAGGGGATAATTTGGAATTAAATATTTCAGGACCACTGGTCGTTTCACATCAGCCCGATATGTCGTACAGCGGAAGGGATATCACATGGAAATATTTTGACGTTCTCTGCTTGACTTCACCTGAATCCTTCTGCCCTTGTTTGTAAAGGAATAATGTATGATTACCAAGTAGTGTCTTTGTCTAAGAAGGGTATTTTCGTTACTGCAATGTTTTCTGATGTACTTGTGTACTTGATGCCCATTTTGGTAAGCTATAGGCGTCTGTTGTGAAATACACCTATATGATTGTGGACATTGCGGACTTTTGGTATTGTTAAAAGATAGATGTGCCCGTGCCATATGAACACATTTTCTCACCATGATATCAAACAAAATATAAAGTAGGATCACATTCCGTCAGTCTAGGTACAGAAAAAGTAAGGTAATCAAAAAACAGCACGTGAGACATACTTTTATCACACAGAATATTGAAAGAGCATCACTATTCTCGAACGCTGTATCATTGGCATCCCGGTGGGTCACTAGATGGACCGTCATCATAAATACCGACACAGCAGGTGCCCGCGTCGGATGACACCTGGTGGTATAATCATAGGCGACGGAGTCGGTTATAGTGTCGCAGCATTCAGATGACTAACATTCAGATCGTGTATCATTTGTGATGTTTGAGATGATCCGGCATCCGTAGGTTACATGTGGAGATTCAAAGATACGGCGTAGGACAGGGATATGAATTGAAACTGTTCTGTGGTATGGTAGGGAACACCTTTATATCATTTATAGTGTACTGCTGGTTTAGCCGAATGCGTGAAGTCATGATTGACTCTCTTAACATCATCGTGTTGTAATTAATTAATTTTCTTACACAAAAATATAGCATTGTTTATTACCTGAAAAGTTAATTGTCAGATGAAACATGAATTCGTGTTCTGCTGATGTCCCCAAAAGGTATTAACCCTCCTGACAGTTTTCTCAGCTGACAGAATAACAAAAACTAGAATTTATCGAAACACGGACTTTTCTCCTCAACCCTTCCACTCTGAGGTACACGAACGTGTCTTTAGATCCTAAGACCTCTACTCTGACTGAATACATAAAACATTATTGACGCCAGCCGTGTGTCTTGATCATCAAGCACGTACGTGTGACTGCGTCTTATATCATACGTTCCGGTAAGCATGGGGACCAGTAGGTACACATGATCATTGTATGATCGTAAAGCAGCTTAGTAGTTTTTAAAAGGGGTTGTTATCCTCATTTGAAATCATAATGATGACACGGAAGCCACTTACAAGAACAAACCCGTCACTTGCAAGAACACACATTATTGACTCACGGATGTAAGTTGGCTTATTACAGCAAAACATAGTTATTTCAAACGTCTATATACACAAACGGAACTGTTGACATATTGAAGATAAAATCTTGTGAGGTGTCAAGTAAGAAGGTGCAGAAACGTTGTTATGCCTAAACCAGTTTGTAGATTTGTTTTGCCCAGATCAGCAATATTTTATCTGTTAGGTTTGTGTGTGTGAAATGTATATGATTTTATGCCGCTTTTAGCATTATTGGCAGCTTATGTAATGTCGGAGAACACCGCGAATGTCAGGCGTCCATTGTCCCTATATTGGGTCTTTGGCTTGTTAGGTGTGTGTGCATCCTTGGTGGTTTTGAGGCAGGGTAGGTAACCAGTATCTCATTCATTTCATTAGAGCCAGGTGGTCAGATGGTCACAATTGATGCTGAATATGATGGTATTTAGAGACAACTTGGGACTAATGACGGAGATCGGTGTTACCAGTGTCGATCTCCAATTTGGTTTCTCTGGTCCATACTTGATTACATAATGGCCCAGTTGTCTAAGCCGGTGTAATTCAGAGTTGCGGTCCCAGGCTGTAGCAGGATCTGATCTTGATCCTTGGTTCGTCAGGATCAAGGGGGTCGTGGAACGAACCAAAGCGATAAAGGTTTAATACCTGCATCCCTTGGGCTTATACGCACACTCAGTTACAGACAGTCGCAATGCAGTTGTACTTTTGCCGACACCACTCACTGTCTGGCTCAATGTGTGCATTTGTGAATGTACACCGCATTTTATACCATTCTCTTACATATACATATCTCCTTACTGTTAATCTAACATATTTCATGTACTGGTTTAGTTTGTAAGTAAATTTTATTTTCCTTCCGCTACGCATTTTGTGTGTCAATATGACTTTTTTTGATGGAGCATTATTATACCACTGAAGTGTCCGGATGTAAAAACATTGATATCGAATTACATTTAACAAATACTTTTCGAGTATTTTTTCCGTAAGCTTGAGATGTAAGATAGCTTCTCCTCTTGTTAATTTCCTTTTAAATGGATGGTAACTTGTCGGAAGACCCAGATGAGACCCAGCCAAATATGTACATTGCACGCGCAGACCTTTCTGTCTCAGCGGTAATTAATGCAATACTTCTATCATCAGGTGGAAAGCTTGTGTCAGGTTATTCTGACCTGCCCGTTTGTTTAGTTGTTTGTTTAACGCCGCACTCAGAAATGTTCCTGCTAGATGACGGCGGCCTGTACGTAATCGAGTCTGTATCAGGCATTCAAGTAATCGATATTGTGAGCGATGATTCACTCATCAGGGTACGATGACACGCTATCAACCAAGTTACCGAGCCTGATCAGCCGATCCATTTGGTCTTCTCTGACGACCAGGACAGGTTGCTGGGTACCTATTCTAACCCGGAATCCCCACGAGGGCACGTGCAGTGTTTGCTTGCCTGTCATGTATATTGATTTCAAATGTTGAAAAGGTATCTGTGAAATCTGTGTTTACAATGAAGTACTTTTGCATATGAGGTCACATGTGTTCATAACTTCACTGAAGAAATTCGAATTCTAATGTTTTTAAATTAATAATGGCTGCAATAAATTAAAACATACTGCTTTGAAGTTTCCTTATACCACTAAATACTGTATACTATCTCATGTGCAAACGTTGACGCGTTTATTTGGAATTATGCGGTATGTTTTAATAATTGTAAATAAAAATACCCCCTTGAAGATTTGGGTTAGAATTGCTCTTTAGAAACCCATGCTTGTCGTAAGAGGCGACTAACGGGATTGATGGTAGACTCGCTGACTTGGCTGAAGCATGTCACCGTATCCTAATAGCTTAGATTGATGCTCATGTTGCAAATCACTGGAATGTCGGTTAAAAAACAAAAACAAATAATACTTAATTAATGTTGTAATAAAGCCAAGGAAAACAAGCAGTAACCTGGCCGAACAAGTAGTTTGTTACATAACATCATAAAATCATCAGTAATCTGTTAGATTTCTCTGTTCACCTATCCCAAAATATTAACCAAATGTATTGCAGAATGTTACTTAAACATGACAATTAACACTGAAAACACTCTGCATCATATCCAAGTGTTAAATCCCACTAAAGAAGTATATAACCGATACAAAAAGTCAGCTTATGTGTCACTAATATCGAGGTTTGTTCAGAGTCTACCAAATGTAAGTATAGTTGCTGCCATTTAAACGTTATGTTTATACGTACATTACGCTCATCATGCATCGTCAAAACAAGTAGATAACAGACCTAGTTGTGCATGGTTTCACATGTACTGGTTCACATCGACAATGGTATCTCCAGCCACAACATATTGAGGTGCGCTCTGCGTACATGCAGGGAATAATGACGGACAGATGCTAATGTTTGGTTTTGTAGAGGAAGGAAAACACTCTTAAATAAACTTCTCATCCTTTGACGTGCCTATGTTCTAAGGGCTTGAGTTGCGTACTCTTAATGTAAGTAACAAGAGTGTAAGCTGCAGGTAAACTCCAAACTGAACTGACTGATATGTAACTGTTCAGGAACACGCAGTCGACTCACTTGTTCATTTTTGTAGCTTGATATAATCATTTCACTGGCCTTTGACTCGAAATCAGCCATCTCTATATTGGTTCAGATTCAAAAGCTAGGCATTAGCATCTTCCACGTGTTACACTTCAGTAGCTCAGCATAAGCATCTCCTGCGTGTTCAGCATCTCTCACGTGTTCAGCTTAAATAGCTCAGCATGTGCATCTTCCACGTGTTCAGCTTCAATAGTTCATCATAAACATCTCCCGCGGTTTCAGCTTCAATAGCTCAGCATAAACATCTCAAGGGTTCTATCGCAAAAGATCAGCGTAATAAGCTCACTTTTCAGACCCAATCCAACGTTTTTATATCCTGACAAATTAATTTTGATTATTTATTCAATAATACAACCCTTGGATTAAATACTAGTAGTTAAGTGTTTATTTTATTTTCATCTTTAGATAAAAGGTGTAGATCATTGCTATTGGGACATATGTTTCGGTGTGTAATCGATATATGTAGTTGATCATGAAGAACAGCTGGGTTTACACGAACCAGAAGTCAGGTTTCCAAAATAAGAGGTTCCACCGTAGGATAACCGTGACGTTATTTTTCACGGATGCTTACAAACATTTTGTGGGTCCTCTGTATTATCTGCTCATGTTTTATACATGATATTCATAGTTATTTAATCAGGTTTAGATCAAGGAATGTCTTTACATATAATCAATATGGCGTTATCTCAATGGCGGTGATGTTTAACTCCTGTTTCAGGTTACGCTCCTATTACCGGCCTGTGTAATCCAATACGAAGTTGTGCTGCTATAAAGGATGAAGGATTTACCTCGGCATTTATTATAGCTCATGAGATGGCACACGTGTGAGTAGAGATATTTACGATTCATGCATGAGCTACTACTTGATAAAATATTTCATCAGTATTCAGAATTTCTATACTCCTTTAAGTGAAGATATGACTGTTTATTGTGGAATTTGAAGCTTGCGACGTTTAGGTATTTTCATAATAGGATATCATGTTTTATCGATGAATGGCTAAACACACTTTTTATACATTTTGTATGTTATCTGATGATTTTAAGTTAAATTCGTTATGATTTAGACACTGAAATACCAAACTATAAACCATGTATGACCATGTACTTATGATCTAAGACTAACATGTTTCGATGTGAAATGACTTCATTGCAACTACTTCTAGATTCGGTTTATTCCACGATGGCCATGGCAACCGTTGCCATGGGCGCGAGTACCGAACAGCCATAATGGCGACTCTTGTGGAGTCCAAGCTGAACCACTATTGGTGGTCAATCTGCAGCCAAGAGAGGATGAAGTCGGTGGTTAAGTAAGCATTAAGACAAGTCACAACTGACCAAGTGACAGTGGATATTACTACACCAATCACCATAGCTCAGCATTGTTTTGAGTTAAAATAATTAACTTACGTTGATTATGTATGTGTCAGTGTATTATTGTGACGCTCATTTCAAAATTGTGATTATTTGCGTTTCATTTACTGGTAAAATGACGGGAATAACAATATATATATATGATCAACAATAAAACTAATCTGTACTAGAAGATCCCAAAGAATGTGTCATAAGGACTTCAAAACACTCACATGTATTTAAGATCAGCAGTAGCAAGTCAACCATCTACAACATCCGTTTGTAAATGAACAGATGAACGGTACATGCTTGGAGACACCTATTTTTCACTAACGTAAATCAATCTGGCATGGTTATAAGAGAATTTATTAATCTACCCCTGCCTAACTAGATGCTGATGATGCTATCTACTTATGCTTTTTCTGTCAGCTCTCTTTACTGCCTAAATGATGATCCCTATGAACTGGGAGGTCTGCCAGAAATACCTGCAACAATAGGAAAGAACTGGTCGCTAAATGAACAGTGCATACTGGAGTTCGGAGAACAGTTTTCAATTTGTCGAGCTGTAAGTAAAACACTTGGCGTTCATCGGAGTGATTTATAACACTTCTTGTGACCCTTGTTATACTTCTAGGATCATGTCCCTCTGTGAATGACCCGTGTTGTGTGTCTGATTGTGTGACATTAACATGAACCGTTACCATTTGGACTTGTCTGTCAGTCTCTGTCCCAAAGAACGCTTGCCTTCAGTGTTGATGTTGCGATAACGTTAAGGTCATGTACGAACTTGCAAAGTCTCAGCCTTTTATAAAGTGTAATTGGTGCTTGTCAAGTTCAATTTGATTATCAAACCAAACTTTGGAAGCAAAAAAAGTGTTTGCTCTCGACATCCAATCGACGAAGTCGAACCATCTGTATGATTTGCCAAACTGTAATAACGGTCACTGAAATGAATATGGTAAACTCTAACGGTTGTGAACGTCCTTTTCTCTAACATACTGAGCATGTGCATATTGTCTTTGCAATATGGGTCACCTTGGACTGCATAAGAGAGCATTGTTTGTGGCTTCCCCGGTACTAGTCAATATTCTGGTAAACAAAGCTTTGCCTCTTTGATACTACTTATCGGAGGCAAAATATTAACGCGAGGTGGTTGATCAATCTCTGTCTTCATCATTTTAGCCAGGTAGGCAAATCATACCGTATTGAGTTTCAACCAAGAGTTCCTGCAGGGAATACCTTTGTGTATGTTGAAAGGAAAAATATATAATTTATTCCTTACGTTGTCCTGATTTAACAGTTCCTGTCAGCCACAGTAAAAATGTAAGGCGACAATACGTTAACATGTACGTTAATATTCATATTCATTGTTTAGATTAAGAATATGAATATCAAATCAAACACATTAGTCATCACCTCATGCGAATGCGGATGTCGCATCCAGCGCGTCTTCCATTACGCTATGTATAAATGAAATGTCTTTGCCTTTCTGGTTGCGAAGTGATGAAGACTGAGAGTTGATTAGTTCTGAACAGGGTGTTAACTATTCCCTAACTATGCAGTGCAGCCTGATGTTTGGAGAGCAGTTCTACTGATGGTGTGGCAGATTTTAAGTGTGTATTTGCTGTGACTAACACTCTGTTGTATTTCTGTACTCTCAGTATTTCTCAATGTCTGTCTTCTTTTCTTCTTCAGGAATATAATTCGGTATGTTCTTTACCAGTTCTCCCTTGTCACCGAGTTGCTCACGTTTTGAATGAGGTGCAAGTGTTCCATTCACTGTTACTGCTTTATCCCTGCATGACAATTGAAACAAGAAAAATATACACCCTTACCTTTTAAATGCAAAGTAAGGTTAAGAATCGACGCTATGACTAAACTGGAGTCCTTTCATATTATGTATGTATTTAATGTGTAAAGCTTTTTCTCTTTTCTTATCTTATCCCTTTCCTGCTCCTTCTTGCAATGTTGCATGGCGCCCTTCCTCAACATTGTTAAACATTCTAATTGTTCAGAGATTGTATTACATACATCCTCAATAAACAATCCCCCATGTGTTTGTTTTGTTGTTTGTTGTAAAAAAAACCGTTTGCATCGTTTATTTACACCCAGTGTTTGTATCTTAAAAAATGAAGATAATGTTCCTAAATCTGCATTTTATTAATTCTTTTATTGAAATTAGGTAAATTGTTTCTTTATTGTGATAACCCTTTCCTTTCTTTTTGTTGCCTTGTGCTTGTTACATGTCCGTATGTCGAGGATATGGCACTTGCCTTATCCCTGGTGGGTTTTCTGCAGTTTTACTCTGACTCTTGCAACATGCTTTGGTGTGGCGACTATCGCCGGCCCCATTTGTGCCGGACAAAGAGGGGACCACCACTTCCGGGAACGCCCTGCGGCAGGGAAAAGGTACATGCTGGTTATGTAATGTGTGAGTGTGTGATTGTTGTTTTGTGTAACATGCAGCAATGTTTTGTTGCAAAACCATTGACTGATTGTTTCAATAATGAGCTATGTCGTCGTGGCGTGGCTAGCTCTTTATCATAACCATGATGTGCTTGGGACCTATTACGGGTCGATAATGTCGAATGTTTGACTTCTGTTGACCCCAAGGTTCAACGGCCTTGTTGGTATTCCAGTGAAAGTAGATCCACAGCACCTTTTGCTGGTCGTAAGAGATGACGTATTGTTCGTGTTGTCAGACCTGGTAGTTGGTGGATTTCTTGTTATTATATAGTTGCTCGTAACATCAATCACTGGATTGTTTAGACCAAAATCATTTATTTACAGTCCGACATTAGAAAAGCTGGAATATTGCTAAAGTCGGTGTTAAACAACAAACAAGGATCAACAAAATATGATCAACGAATGCCATTAATATTTAAAGAACCTAAAATATATATTACTATATGTTCCAATGTGCCTAAATATTCTTTTTCAAATAAATATATATTTCATTATACGCCTAGACTGCATAGTGTACCTCATATCCTTGCAACCAGTGCATATATTGGTGATACAAACATATACCTGCTATGACTACAGCAATGTTTGAGCGGTCGGTGTGAGTACGTGGGCAACCAGTCTCCAGTGAACGGTCGGTGGGGATACTGGTCGTCTTGGACACCGTGTTCATCGGAGTGTGGAGTGGGACTTCGGTACCGTAGTCGGACATGTGACAACCCAAGGTGAGATCATCATTACCGATGTGGTAATATAGAGATTATGTTAGATGTGCTTTTCTTAATTGGGTTCATGGATGGCCAAGTTGTCCAAAGCAACACAACTCGCTTACCAGAGTTGCGCCAGAAACCTGATTCGCGCTGATAATGTTCTAGGTTTATCAGTACCACACTCTTGCTAGAAGGTTGTCACCAAAATGGTTAACGTCCAAGACCTGCATCACTTCCGGTTTTCCTCTCACGCCGACAATCAGTGATAAAACGACGTTTGACAAACACGCTTACTTACTTTCTTACGTAGTTTGAGTTACGTCCATACTTTGAAAATCGTCATTTTCCTGACGACCTAAAACGAAATTTTCTCTGATTATATCTATGCCCCCCAGACATATCATGCAGAGGGTGGGGGTGGGGCTGTTCGTGCAAGTTTTTTTCATCCAAACTGGGTACATGAATTAACCAGGGGATGAAGTGGTACCTTTTCCTATTGTGGCTGGTCCGAGGGATTGTCATCTTCTGATTGCTCTTGCTGTACCTGCAGCAATACTATTGTCGAAGTGTGTTGTCAGTTATGTACATGTAGAAATGTATTGTTGCAGTCCTAAATATGGCGGCAGGGACTGTGAAGGCGGAAAGGACGAAATGGGGACATGCTTAAATGAGGTACAGTCCCGTGTCCTCCCGGCTGAGCAAGAGCAAATTTTAAGTCTTAAACAATAACCGCCCATAACCATGACTTGGCTTAGCGCAGTGATCAATGTGTCATACAGGTTATCACTTGGAGTGGCACATAGCAATACAACGTAGTATGCTTTGTAAATACTGTTTCCATAGTAACCTGGTATAACAGATTTTGTACACACACACACGCACGCACACACACACACACACACACACACACACACACACACACACACACACACACACACTTCACATTTAAATGACTACGCCCTGCATCTATGTTGTCAAGATGACAGGCTGTGACATAACTCATATATGTACAAGGCAGCGTTACACACAACTGGTTCACACACATTCAAGCATCAATGTGGTTGCGTACAAGTTTTTATGAGATAGTTTATGTTGCCTTTTGTGACATTTTCGGACTGCGGTTGGTGGAACGTTACAGGGAAGATTTCGATATTAGCATAATGTAATAAATGTGACATATAACACATTATGACCTCCGGCTATGCTAGATATTAATTCAAGAGACACGTGGAGAGGGAACACTAAAAACATACTTAATATCAAATAAAAATCCCAATAGTCAGCGCAAGATTTGCTATAACCATAAAAAAATTGAACAACAGTCACACATTGAATCTATAACAACGGTCCCCTGGAGTAATATTTGAGTTCACTGGTGTTTGTATAGCGTTGTCATAATTCCAATAAAACTATTAATTTATTAATCATAAACAACAAGGGTCAGCAAACAGTGTTCTTTCCAGGTGGAGAAAGGGGCATACTAATAAGACTTCAGACAATAGTCTTGGGTGCTGTGACTCCACTCCTTGAGATAACTGGTGATGTTGTGTTGACAGAAATGTGCCACCTACACCGACATCCGAGCTGGAGAGTGTGAGGTGTGGGCGGAGATGAACGTGAGGCCTGGGAGACACACCTGGAAGCCCTTCCCAGCCCAGAACAGTACGTCGTTTTGACGAAGACCGACCACCGCCCAGTGCCGCTCTGTCTCCTGATTTGGGTTGCATCCATCAAACATAGAACCATAGTCATTATACAATCGCACAAGGTTTCGCTTTTCGCTAAAATGCAAATAACAATTTAGCTAGTTGGGAAACATAGTTAATTACTACCCGATTATTGCAGAGCAGTTATTAGAGATAATTCTGTAATAAACGAGATGTTTTAATCACTGGGATCTGATCTAAACTTCAGCCGTCAGCATTCATAATTTTTTGAACATTTGGCGTGTATTTATGGAACAAATACTCAACGTAGTAACTATAATAACGAAATCTGTAGATTGTTATAAACCATTCCACGACCACTATACAAATGCACAATCGACAAAAATGGATTATATATATACCATGTGGATTTCTTGTAATACTTCATGTGTACATATGTTGTCGAGGGTATCGGTTATTCTGAAAGTAAATAATACAATGTTTGTTTGAAGGTAACGGGCGGCAATGCTAAATATGTTGGTATATTTAATCATATCTAGGATTGGGGAATTTGATTCCTAGGTCCCCTTGGCACGAAGCGACCTTGGCTCTGCGACTGTAAGTTTGTGTTAAAGTGTGGGCGTTACACTAATCGGAGCGCTAAGATTGCTTTGCGCATGTGCACCCTGGCAGGAACATTAATGAAGTTATTATTCTCAACACTGCACATGGTAATTTCTAATCCTCGGCATTTCTATTCTCGCCGAAAGGTGTGTTGGAATGACCACGTGAATATCTTTATAATTATTCTAAAAGGGAAAGGGATGACTTGATTTACTTGAAAACCCATATACTCTACTAACACAGTTTTTTGTTGTTTGTTGTTTAACGCCGCACTCAGCAATATTCCAGCTATATGACGGTGGTATCTTGAATAATCGAGTCAAGACCAGAGAATCCAGTGATTGATATCATGGCATCGATCCACGTAATTGGGATACGATGACCAAGTCAGCGAGGTTGACCACCCGATCCCGTTAGTCTCCTCTTACGACAAGCATGGGTTGCTGAAGACCAATTCTAAGCCGGATCTTCACGGGTCTTTGCTAACACGTGCATTACATGTGTAGGCATGGACATGAGTGTAGGGAAATGGACATATAGTGTGCATCGAACTTTTAACAGTTGAACGTCAGCCGAAACGAGTAGTAGAAAAATGATGTGTAGGGCGTCTTTTCTATGGTACTTCTCAGGCGTGCCAAGGCATTTGCAGTTAAACTGAGAAAGCAAGCAATCCATAAGAGATTCTGACTTGAATCAGACTCGGACACACGATATCAAGTTTGCTAAATATAAATCAGTACCGAGTGTTAAAGGTGTGTCTGTGACCGGTTAACAACAGGAAAGGGTTTAAATGATTGGAGTGAAATGTTTCGTACCCTTATTTGACGTTAGTGTATATGTGTTCTGCTTTCAGAGGCGGACTGGTGTAGACAAACGTGTAAATCGGACAGATCTGGAGAGGCCGTCACCATCGACATCAACACCGAGGATGGCACGCCGTGTACATACGACAACGACTTCAGTATCTGCGTACTGGGTGAATGTTTTGTGAGTATCAACTTTGCATTTGCTAGTGAATGGCGGTGACCATGCGTGTCACAGTTGTGTGAGATCAATGTGTCACCATGACCTTGAGAATATATTCAGTCAAATACATCAATATGTATACAATACCGGGGGAAACAATTTACTTAAGACGTCAACCTAACCTTTCAGACTGATGTCTGTTGTGAAAACGTCAATTGTAATCGTCAACACATCTTTAAATAATTTATTAATGGCATCAATTATTGGTAAAAACCATGCAGCGGCGTTGCCGAACGTATCGACCTGTAGCAGATTCTAGATCTGTCCTGTCATCTCCATGGCAAAAGGGAGCGGGAGGGGTTGATATGATATAACATGTGAAATCGGTCATGAAAGCGGGTAAACGTCGCTTGACTGACTAAACGTTTAGCGCTGGTCCAAACAGTGGATCTTGATAAATTGTGTAATTGTCAGACTGGGTGGGATAGTATTGTGAGGCATTATTCCCACAACATCATGGCGGATGACATCATAAATGGTTTTACAAATGTGGGGAACCAAAGCATGTCCTTCAGCGTGGCGAGTGAACGCTGTAACCACTATGCTACCCCGCCACTCTATAAGTGTCAAAAGAAATAAGGAAGGTCACCACAAATGTTTTTGCTTAACTTCGGGGAATTGATATTTACAAACTCATTATCATGTGTTTCACGTATCGTACATCTGTATGTAAATCTTTGTTATTTGCGTTCTAACACAGGACGTGGGGTGTGACGGTGTGATGAACTCAACCAAGAAGAGTGATAACTGCGGGGTCTGTGGTGGAGATAACTCATTCTGTAAAACTGTTACAGGAGAGTTCATCAGAAAGCCCACTAAAGGTAACACAATACTACTTTGGACACAGCTGTGAGAACTTGCATGTAAAACTTGTGAAGAAATCAAACATAAAGTTACCCAAGGAAAACAGAAAAACGACACTCTTGCAGAAAGAGCACAATGTTTTATGGTACGTTGGCACTGACTGTTCTGATCTTTAAGACTTATTTCAAACATGTATTGACTTTCAGAAGATGAATATGAACAGGTTGTGTTCCTTCCACATGGAGCCCGGAATGTGGAGATCACCAAAACGGAAGAATCGCCGCATTTTCTGGGTAATTACTCAATCTATGTGTAAACTGATTACACAAACCTCCTTGATGTTTGTGCGTTTGTTGTTTAACGCCGCCTACAGCAATATTCCAGCTATATGACGGCGGTCTGTAAATAATCGAGTCTGGACCAGACAATCACGAGCATCGATCCACGCAATTGGGATCATGACGTGCATCAACCAAGTCAGCGAGCCTGACCACCCGATCTCGTTAGTCGCCTCTTACGGCAAGCATGGGTTGCTGAAGACCTATTCTACCCCGGATCTCTACGGGTAACAAATCTGCTTGAACGCGTGCAACACCGGAAGTGAACATTTAACCAGAGTATAAAGCGGTTTACATTCAGTAAACCCAAGTTTGTTTTCACTCATAAATACCTTATCCAATAAACAGTATATACGTATCCAAAATTCCCCCAAATGTCAATTACGATACATCCTCCATTAAATAAGACGTTACACTCTTCTTCGTAAACCGATTGCCTGAAGTACTCATTATGTCAGACGCAATGACACATATGAAATCTGATTGGTCCAGGTCTGTCCAAAAAATGTGAGGTTAACCGAATGTCATCTTTTCGTGTAAGAAATATCCATGTATTTTTGCAGCTATGAAGGATCCACAACGAGGCGACTATTACATGAACGGCAACGGGAAGCAGGAAGACTCGAAGCAGCTCGTGGCGGAGGGGACGCTCTTCACATACGCAAGGGGTCAAACATACGAAAGTCTGGTTTCCAGAGGGCCTTTGAAGAAAAACTTGGAGATTATGGTCAGTTGGTTGCCATGTTTTCATAAATAGGAGATTCGTCATACAGTTGGATAATTCTATTGGTTTCGTCTGGCGTTTCATGTGTCAGGGTTGACTGAGATAGGCCATCTTTGGGATGTGGTAGGAAGAAGTAGTATGTTCATGCTCCGTATTCACAATATTTGTCTGTCAATTTGTTTTGTGTTCCATCGATTCAGGCAAAAGGATATGTTATTTCTTCAGCGTTTCTGGATAAGCAACGTGCTGTTGGGATTGAGCAACAAGTTGTATCTTTAAAGTTTGTATTTGAAGATGTCATTGAAGATGGGCTTAGGTGTTTACTTGTCATGGTTAATTCTCGTTTAAGAAGTGTCACTGATGATTGAAAATCCAGTATAGTTCCAAGGAGACTTGAATTGATGTACCTGTTCTGATGTTTTGGAATATTGAACTTTAAAAGTTCAGAAATAATTCACACATCAAGAAGAGTTCCAGTGTATGGCGTTTGTCAGAAAGATGGTAACCAATTCATCATAAGGGTAGCTGTCCTATTTTGATGAGATATTTAAGTTATGATAGGGAGGCTAGCGTCACCACGTTTTTCTCAAGTTGACCCCTTAATATCTGGAAAACATTCTTTACATATTATAGTAGTCACTCTAGATTCTCTCTTGGCTGCACATTGTCTGGCTATCGCTTCGTTCTCTTGACAGAGGCTTCAAATCTGTATTCGGTAATACGTCGTATTATAATCCATCTTGCTAGCGCTATGTATCTATCATGAGGCCTATGAGGTGTAGATGATGTCTCTACGGGTTGTACCTGTCTTTTAAAAGGTACCATTTCTTCAGCTTACTTTTATCTATAACTGCAAATTTACTCCTGCTGCTGCTAACACTGTGATAAGTCTCTATCAGGTGCTGGCACTTCTTGCTACCGTTCTTTCCTACATGGGTATCTTTAATCAATGGTTGCATTTGTACTTACTTCCGTTTTATGGCTATGGTATCTGTAAAGTCTTTCTTTCTCTCCAGTCTCTGCAATGCTTAACAATATCAGCGAAACTTTGCTTTGTGCAGTTAGCTAGCATCACCTAGAGCAGTAGAATACATGCATGTCTGTATAGATATTAAAATATTTGCTATGTGTTTTCATCCTTATAATGAGGACTTGTTTTACACCTGGTAAAGAAAATGTTTTCTTGTTTCTCATCTCCTTTTATCAACATATTGGGCTGGTCGGTATCTTTAATATATAGTATACTGGTATATAGTACAACGTATGTGTAGCAGGGCGTGGAGTCATCAAACAGATGACATCCTTACCTTGTCAGCTTGCTCAAAGGGTTGAATCCCTTTTGCCATGTGAACAAGGCGTCCACCCTCGGATCAGAAGGTCCGTGATTCGAATCTGGATCCCGTCACAGGCTCGGAAATTGTTTGGCTGCAACATATCTACTACCCGAAACTGCAAACGCGAATGACGCAATTTTTCTTTAACATTTATTTAACTTGAGACTTTAACCAAAACATTGGTTTGAAAACACAATTTAAACATATAGTTTATTGGTGTGGGATGATGAGAAACAAGAATATGTTATGTGCCATACATAAGTAAACCCAATGACTAAATTATAACATTATTATGATTATTAACGTTCAAGTTAAAAGCTGAAGCTTAATGACTGATGATTACTTGAAAATCAAAACCATAAATCCAATGTTGATCTTTTAGACTAATGTCATCGCTCTTGCTGTTGCTATTAGTGTAAGTATGTATCTCGTAGAGAACCCCCATTACTGATGTCGACGTGTGTCCTTCATTGGCCGATTAGCTCAGTAATGAACAAGTATGATTACAGCTATTTCCAGCAGGCCACCTTGCACCTGCCTCCATCAGCTACACCTACACAGTTAACAAAGACGATCACACTTTGGAGAAAACTAAGTATAAGTGGAAATTTACGAAATGGTCGGATTGTTCTGTAACCTGTGGCACAGGTAATATATTTGTATATTATTATATATCGTATAGACGAGTATTTCTTGTGTATAAGAATTAAAAGGGTGAAAAATCCTACCCAAGTGATTTAATGTAATTATTTAATGTTGTCCTATTGGTTCCAGGCGTAGAGTTATGTTACAATATTATGAACTTCTATACCCGTGAAGATCTGGGATAGAATTGGTCTTCAGCAACCCATGCTTGTCGAAAGAGGCGAAGAACGGGATCGGGTGGTCAGCCTCGCTGACTCGGTTGATGCATGTCATCGTTTCCCAATTGTGTAGATCGTCGATCATTATGTCAATCACTGGATTGTCTGGTCCAGACTCAGTTATTTACAGACCGCCGCCATATATTGTTAAGTGCGGCGTTAAACAACGACAAATAACCTACTAGGGAGAATATGTTTTCCTAATGAACAAAAAGGTCAAATGTGTGACAAGTTCAGCGATAGAAACTAACAGTTTTAGTCCACTGGTCCTTATAATGATAACATATAGCAAAACCCTTAAAAAGGGCACATTTCTACTAGCCCTTATGATATCTTAACTATTGGACAATTTGGCAAGGACCATAGGACTAGTGCCAGTTTCTTATGCTGAAGCTACAACCTAATATAAAACTATATTGCACTTCAATAGAGATTTAACTGTACAGTTTCTAAGGGGGACAACCCTGCCATATTCCCTACATGTTAGAATGTTTTGGACAGTTCGGTCAGTGTATTTCATGACAAATTGAAGAGAAGCATTTGAAAAGAATTTCGTCCGCGGGCAATAATAATTACGATGATATTACAATTACCATTATCATTATCGTTACGGACATTTTACACCAAACCCGTCCTTGTGGGTTTCCCCAAGCCTCGATATAACTTGAAGCTTGCTCAAAGCGGCATTAACACCACAGCGATCACTGACTACGGTCATTTAAGACATTTCATAAGGTGATCCGTGGTGTTGTCCCACTTAATTTGTCTGTGTTAAAATTGTGCTTAAATAATACTCAAAATAAGTTAATGAACATCTGATGGTTGGTTATGACAGATTGACGATAGTGATATTTATTTTGTTTGGTTGTTTGTTTATTGGTGAACGCCGCACACAGCAATATTCCAGCTATGTTACGGCGGTCTGTAAATAATCCGAGTCTAGACCAGACAATCCTCTGAAGGACATCATGAGCATCGATCCACGCAATTGGGATACGATGACATGCATCAACAAAGTCAGCGAGCCTGACCACCCGATCCCGTTTGTCTCCTCTTACGACAAGCATAGGTTGCTGAAGACCTATTCTTACTCGGATCCTATTAATCGGGTGTTCATTCAAATTATTTTGTGTAGTATATAACATGTGTCGATGACTGCAGGAGTTCAGACCATCATGCACGGGTGCTTCGACAAAAACACTGACGAGAAACTGAATGACGAGATGTGCAGCTTTCTGGACCTACCGCGACAAGACCAGGCCACATGCCACAGAGAGTCTTGTGACCAGATACGGTAACTTCCCCATCTAAAAGACGCGATGGTTCATGTGTTGTTTGTCTGATGTCATTGGATTGGTACATGCTTATCGTAGTCGGTCTATACCTTGCAGAGTGAAACATGACGCTTGTTGTCCCATAAAGTATTGCTAAATATGATATGCCGAATACGTACATTAGTCGTCAAAATATTCTGAGTCTTTCATTCTTCTATATACTATTTCGTACCTTTGCATGTAATCTTTCTAAACACATCATAAAAACAAACACTATATAAAATATACTAAGTGATCACGTTTATACAAACATTTATTTTATACATTTTCAGTCAAACAGATTATTCGCATCACTACATGTAATCTATTTTTACATGTAGATACCGCAGTTTGTTGAGACAGTAGACAGCTTGAATTCAAGGTTTTTGATGAAAAGAAATTAACAACTTAAAAAACCCTTAAAAATAAAATGAATTCAGTATCAATAGTGTCACACGTCAGGTACATTTGGGCGATGTTCAGCAACTTCTCGGAGTGCACCACGACGTGCGGAAACAGTGGCTACAAGACTCAGATGTACGGCTGTGAGAGGAACTACCCAAATGCTTCAACTGAATACGTTCCCCATCACTTCTGCGAGAAGGTGGCGCCACCTAACGAGACAGTGGAGTGTAACCGATTCCCCTGCATTCTAAACTGGAGTTTCGGGGAGTGGAGTGAAGTACGATGTTACTGTATATAGTTACTAACCTTACGGTACTTACTAACAGACACCAGCTCGTTTTGTGTGATCCAGAATCAACGATCTGGATTCGAGCAGCTTTCTTCCAAGTGCTTTGAAATACAAATTGTATGGTACCAAATGTCCTAACAGAGACCCCTTAGCTGGTGAAGTTAGCAAATCGTATGCTGGTTTTAAGTGTCTCTATGCACGTTTCTACGTGATTTTGAAGTGCAATGTACTTGACTTGTTTCCCACCGTAGTGTTCCAAGACGTGTGGGATGGGCATGCAGCAACGAGAGGTGTGGTGTGGAGACCTCTACGACTGGAGCGAGGACGATGTCTGTGATGAGGATATACCGACTGCAGAGAAGATATGTAGCAAAGGCCCCTGCTGTGAGTCGGGAAGAAGTTAGATAGACAGCAGGATTAGTTATATGTTGAATATTAGTTTTGGTAAGTTAGTTCGCCAGTATGAATCCGAAACTCGAACTCACCACCAGCGGATCCTGATGCAGTCGATGCGAGGAAATAGTTCAAATGGCGTAAAGCGATTCCTGCACAGCGAAATGCGCCTTTTACACAAGCGGGCCATATTTTGGATAAGTATTGAAAATGGACACAGCTACGACAGATGACTTGTAGTGACCTACCCCGGTAAATGATTAATCCCAAAGTTACTTTTCTGAAGAACAACATGTACAAAGTCGAAGTGTAAATGAATATAACTGGACCACCGCTTGACCTCTTCACAAACTATTGGCAGCATTAATGAGAACAATAGGCTTATTTTCCTGAATGTTTACTCATGTCACGTCACATACATGTCTTGTGTTGTACAGTGTCTTGTAGCGTTAAGAACAGTATCTAGTTCCATTGAGACAACGAGCGCTTTTTTCACGAATGATATGTGGAGAGTTTCGTTGTCATGTAGCTCACAACATATATCCACGTATCCTCATACCTCTTTTTACTGTCACGGTTGTCTCCCAAATGAAGAAATTATATCATTCACTTATCTATTGCGAAGCGTCCTTTTTTTCTTTTGATCACCAAAGTAATTCCTTCTTCCTTTCAGTTCCTAAACTGCCACCGTCATGCAAGAAGGACAAATACTCATTCTGCAAGTACGCATCAGTGAAGAAATGCCGGTTTGCTGGCTTCAGGAATATGTGCTGCATGTCTTGCTTCAAGGGCTCTGGGGCCGCCTACAGACGCCTCACCCGTATGGCGAGACAGAAGAGAAAGCTTAGGATTAAAAGGAGATTAATGGCAAAACGACGTGAAAATTATATCGTAAAAAATAACTAGAAATATACGTATCCGTGTAATGAAAATAATATATTTGAGTTACATGTATGTATGTATGTTCAAAGATAGCTGTGATTTGGCTTATCAATACCCGATATGATTCCCATCAGTGCAATTGATGAAGATTTATGCTCAAATATGCTACGTCATATTGTGGAGTTCTACATGCTGATACCTGGTGCTAGTTTACAGTAGCTATGCATTTTAAACATATGCAGCTACACACATCCAGATGCAACGTCCCACTAACACTTGGAATACTAATGCAATCCTGGTTATCTTAGTTCTTAGCTGATGTAATGTTATTTAATTTGACAATTCAGTTAATCTTTTTCCAGTCTTTGGTGTCTAAAAATAATGTTTTACCAAACATATAATAACCCCATCACAATGGTGCTAGTGTAATGTCATATATAAACAGTTGATACGACTGAATATAGCCTTCTCAACAATTTAATGTTACACAATATGAATGACCATCAACTGTGGAATGATTTTTAGATTGTATCGAACTCCAGATTCAGATTATGTTGGTGATTATTACACCGCCTAGGGATTAGAATACGTAGGGAATTGTTTTCTGCATTTCATTAGTGCAAGCGTTTTGCTTTGAATTTTAAACGTTATTGTATATTATGAATGCATGAAAACGTTTACGGTGCCTGATATCCCCTCAGTGATTGTTTATACCATTGTGCCACTGTACTCTAAACAATTATTCGCCTATACTGGTGCTCAAATGTAGTCCTATATTGTATTAATGTACAGGCTTGTACATTGTACCGGTTATGAGATTTACACGGTGCTGCAGTTATCTTGTTACTATTTAATACATGTATGTTCGGTGACTACTGAACCCACGAACCGAAATGTAGTATTATTATACATTTTTGTATGAATACGTTTTTGTTTGGAGACTGGTGAGATCATCTATCGTCTACGAATGAATTACAGTGAAATGTCATTTACTACACGCTGACGTGGATAGAGACAGTGTTCAAACTGTTCTCAAACAAATTGGTCAAAATGGTTTGGATTGTCAAACTCTTTATGTTGTTTCTGATAATGTTGAGTGTTTGTGTACATAGTTTTCTGCATGTTTTTGCATCGTTATGTGATATTGTCATATTTCAATTTCCCATTTTGCACACCAATGACACTAACGCGCGTTAATAAGTGCTCCTGTAATGTGTCAAAACATGTACTCAATATATAATGTTCGTTTCTTAACTAGGGTTAAGTGTCCTTATGAGTCTATATTCGAAACACGTGTACAATGTACATATATGCACGTCTTGTATATAACATAGGCCTTCGTGTAAAAGTTGATTACACATCTGAGACAAGGTCCCACTTAAGGGGAACGACATCATACTATTTGATCATAGCTGTAAACGCCGGTAATTGAAACGTGATGTGAACATTATCATTATCATATTTACATAAGCTATTAATTACCGCTGATATTGGTGGAGACGGCGGAAACGTGTCGGTAGACTTGTAGCCTGATACTGTCACGCCATTAATGAATACGGACAACAGCTCATTAGTCTCTCGTTAAACCTCGCACGTCTAAAATAAGGTTTACAATTTTCTCATCTTGTGTCATATTTAGATCAAACCCTGATATAATGTCTCGTTTTCAGGTAGTTCTTTTACGTACCATTTATTAAATTGTTTTGAGGAATAATGTCTTTTGTTATTTTTTGATTGAACATTCTTGCATTGAGCAGTATTTCAGTTATTCAAAACAACTCCAGATTATTAACCGTCTCGAATATCTGCCGAAACAGATTCCACAGGCCGTAAAAGGCCAAATACTGATGAAAATAATAACAATTGATCACTGAAAATCACAGATTAGACCAGGTGTTCACGATGGTACGCGTGTCATGCTCTACCACGAGCACCCGCCACTGTACACAGTTTGTAGTAAAAATACGGTTGTTTTTTTCTGACATAACGCCGAACCCTGAAATACACCTGCCATACGACGGTGGGCTGTAAACAGTCGAGTGTGGACCACACAATCTTGTGATCAGTATCATGACAATAATTCACTTCGCAGGGGCACGACGCTGCACTGTCAGCCGAGTCTCCAAGCCTGACCTCCCGAACCCTTAAAGTAAATGCCAGTGGGTAAGGCGGTGTAAAAATCCTTGTGATGAACATTGCATGGGATAGTATCGCGCATCTTTTAAAGTGTCATATTAAGGAACTTCCTTTTAATGTCCACCACAACATGTGGAATGACTTGACAAGGCCTTTGGTGGTGAAACATTGATTGAAATGCTTAGCTGAAAGCAAAATGTGTCTTTCTAAGAAGTTTGAATAAATTATGTAGATGTCGCGGCGTGCTATTTGCTGTTATTGATTATGTACAGGAAGTAATTACATCAAGCTAGCTTATATCATTTGTGACGCGAAGACAAGACACCATTCAAATGTATTTGAAGATTTTATTCACAAAAAGGTAGCATGTGAAAATGTAATCATTGATTCGTTTTAGCAATTTACAATTCACGTGATATTTAATATTGTTAATAACTAGATAGCATAATATGCATTGTATATAGAAAATCAGCCTTAGAAGCCTTATTCATAAACCAAACCAGAATTTAACGTACGAATCAGCAAATGATGATAGGAAGGTGGAAATAGCAAGTTGTCTCTAGGAACATACGAACGTTTGGCTAGCACCGTGAACATGTTAAATGTCAGAATATATAAGGTGAATTCGAATCGGCAAATGATAGGAAGGCAGGAAAAAACGAATTGTCCCCAGTAAAAAATTGAACGTGTGGCTAGCACCGTGTTTTTATATCCCGCATCTAGAAGTTCGACATATAAAACTTAACATGTTAAATCTCTCGAAAACTGTGATGTGATGGGACCAAAATAGCTATTCATCAGACATTATAGCTATTCGTACACCTCGTTTTCATTTTGCGTCAAAGAAATAAATATCGTGATCACCTTTTAAAGTTTACTAAGACACGAAAGTGGGCATGTAGATACGTCACGGTGGTTGTTCAAAACACCATGAATCACAAACATTTATCTGTGACCACACCAAGTAATTCAGGTTTTTAAAAAAATTAAACAATTGGTCTCAATCTTTTTATATATGTATGGGCAAAATAACCTACCTCAGTGGGCTAGCTCGAACTGAAAGAATGACAATATCACTGTTGCACTCCGATATGTTGAAACACATACCTTTTGTCAAATACTGACACAAATAATTACATTTCGGTCTATCGTGACCATACATACGTAGCTCTATAAAAGTTATATCTGTGACAATAAATGTATGATAAGATTATTAGATGAATATGGCTTCTCACGACGTGTAACGCTACCACACATCAAGAAAGTTTCATATAAAACCCATATGGGGGAAACCGAAAACATTATTAACCACTATCATTGTGTAATATATATATGTCCGTCCGTCTGTCTGTCTGTCTGACTGTCTGTCTGTGTCTGTTAGCAAACAGCTCTTAAGCCACATTTCACATTTCAATATGAATGAATCGTATGTTTCACACTGTACATTCAAAATGAGTAGCAGCGTATTCCTCCTCCTCGTCAATAACATATTGGGTACTGACACCAGACCTTTTCGTGTCCTCTTTCTGTCGGAGCACCTGGTACAGCTGTGTAAATTCGTCCCCCTCCGGTAACAGCAGATACTGCGCCTTGTACAGCCAGGAGAACGACGACGTGAACATCAGGACCACGCAAATCCAGGCGAGGAAGAACGACCATCCGTAGGAATGAATCTTGTTTTCTAATATAAGTTCCTTGTGCGGGAATTTCAAACCCGGTAATAATTCTCCCTTCCACTGTAAGTTAGTTTTACCGTTGAATAGTGCAATTGAGGTGATGAGAATGATTGCTATAAGGTGAAAACAGAAATATTGCCTTGAATACCTTTGAAGCAAGATATCTACATGTATATAGATAGGAAACTTTGTATGGCGGTTTTAACACTATTGATTATAGTAGTAGAAGATTTTAAAAATTACATAACGTCATAATTCCACAGCAAGAACATAAGAAGTGTTCGTTTCAGCAACATTTATTATCATCAAAATACCCCCAGCTATGCCTATTGTGTAATGCAGCATTTGTAAAAAGAATTCAATTATTCCTCGATATGTCCAAAACAAACTGCTAATTAACTCAGATTACAATAAGACTTGGGTGAGAAAAACGGCGACGATGGATCATAATACATGTAGGACTGGCCATGAAATAGTCCTGAGATGGTGGCCTGGGTTTCTTGTTGAAGACAGAATACTTTTTTAGTCAGCGCTTCAAAGCATAATTCTTTTTCTCGAAAAAAATAAGTCAAACACACTTTTTTCACCTACATTTACAACTCAGACCCTCCACCATGTCAAGTAAACGATCTATTTTTGTGTGTAAAAACTGAGGAAAATTATTTTTTTCTCAGCACCTTTGTAAACATATAACTTTTTCTTTTAAAATGAAATTCCCGAACCCACCTCCTTTAACAATTACGTCCATGATGATTCAACTAAGACATTTGTCTTTTGCCTTACGGCTCTTAGCTTGCGGGATATACTGTATGTAGGAATTACAGCGGGAACACAGGTTGAAACAATCTGTACCTTTATTCGACGTATATGAGTCTGCAGTGAAACCAACGGACAGAATATAACTTGACATTTACATACAATACCGACCATATTCATCACACAACAGTTGTAACATCTGCACATATACCAACCTGCTATCAGGGCCAACCCGGAAGCGATGGTCATGTATCTGTGACTTTTGGACAACGACCCGAGACTGCCCGCTGCCAAACTGGTGGCGAGACACAGGATGGATAAGACTGCTGTACAAAAGGCCGCTACCTCAACCTCTGAAGAAATGAAGCAAGCACCATCCTCAGAATTCTACCAGTATGAACTCATCATAGTAAAGCCTCGGAAACTCGGTCGTCTACTTATATCTAGCTGAAGTCGATGTAACGTTTTCGGATTTCATTGAGGTGAGGTGAAATGGTGTTTAACGTCGCGTCCATGATTATTGCACTTTTATAGCGACTGCATGTACGTGTGTGTGTTTGTGTGGCTGCATTTATAGTGCTAGCTCACTGAGATACCATGCCGCAGTTTAACATGAATACCCCACTCAGACACAGTATACTGACTCCGAGCCGACCAGTCCTTGTTTTAGCCCCTTGATGCCGAGCGCCAGACAGGGTAACAACAAGTACCACCTTTAACGTCTTTTGGTATGACGCGGCCGGGGATCGAACCCCGGACCTTCCGCTCTCCGGGCGGACGCTCTACCACTAGACCACGGAGGCGGTCCGGATTTCATTGAAGTGTAAGAAGGTCAAGTATAGGTCAACACTCCGTCAAGTATTGTATTGCGCGATAATGCAGATATAACAATATTCCACCTTTGTTATGACTGCATTTACATGAAACCTTATGGACCAGATTAGTAAAATGGTTACATGACAACGTTGGAGAGCACATTATCTTTACTTTGCAACATGAAGGGGTTCACAGAAAAAAACGAAGAAAAATGATCATTAACCCTACAAAATATGAAACATACATGTGCAAAGCAAAAGTTGCAAATAAAAAGAATATTGTTTGAAGCAATATAATAACAATGTTCTAAGTTTTGTAAAATAATGGAAGTATTTTATTAAGAATTGACTTTCACTTTGTGTGAGTTCATTGGAGTTTGAACCTTCAATGTTTGGCCCTCACTCTGTGAAGGCTCATACTCCAATGAACTCAAACAAAGTGAAAGTCAGTTCTTATAATGTTTTTATCTCACCATTTTTAACCTCTAGGAATGTAGCGCTAGATATGTATACCTGTGACTTAAAGTTTACACTGACAGTAATAAAACAACCAGCTGTATCGCGGAATAAAATAGTTCCCCCAAAAGAGGGGTGACATAAGTGTATTTATGCTCAGCTTGCTTTGCAGGAATATCTGTTGTTTGTTTACAAGGAATGTATTCAAATAATATCTTCATTAGATGATAAAGGTCTGTTAAGAACTACCTCAGTTCGTCAATCACAATGACAGCCGTCGTAATATATTTACATGAAGTACAAACCGTCAAAATGGCCGACATGATAAACGAATGATTTCCGAAGTTGTTAGTGAACCTGTGGCGGTTGCATGTGTTAGTCATCATTGATCAGCTAGCCGATCACTGAAAGGTGATTATAAAGGTGTGTCAATTTATATATTGCTGTAAACTGCATAATGTCAGTCTAGAAACGGATCTAGTCGATACTATGATTGTCGATGTGCATTTCTGCGTTTTGTTCACAAGGATGGGTCGAAGCGAAGATAAAACTCTCTGACGTTTCCCAGCGTATTCTAGAATTCTGTGTGTAAGATTAAAGGTTCCAAATGATCAGAAACAACGCATTTTCATGTATGGTCAAGGGAATTAACTAGGGGTTGTGTTTGGGGTGTTTAAGGAAGGGAAGTTTCATTGCTCCGACAACACCACAAAAGGTTCAACCAATATTAATAAGACGCAAATGAAAAAAAACAATACATTCTGATGTATGATATTTACTTACTAAGTGCGGCCGGTATACGTATACTGGCGTCTGTTGGGACGGGTTGGCTCGACATAAACAACACGCACTTCTCTGGTCGGATTCTTTTAATCTTCAACTGGTCCCGTATACCATCTGAAAAATGGAACATGTATCTCATAGTAGTATCTGCAAAGTGTAAGGGGATACTTGTCCAGGATGTGTCAGGGTACAAGTCATGTGATACAGATTGTAGATTGAAGAAAAGAGACTGGTGACAGCATCATAATAAGGGCGATTCTTAGACTTGAACTGAGTACCATCATATCCGGAGATGGCGGTTTTGGAAAAGTGAACCATGGAAACTTCACATGGAATCATATACACAGGCTAAGCAGGTTTTCGACTTAAAATATAATATACATTAATTTTTTTATACAAGTACAACATCAGTAATAAGCAGGTTTTGTGATAATAGCTATAGATGCGTATGGGGGAATATAGAATAGGTTCGCAGTATTCAAGTTGTGAGAACCGACCGTGGGGAGTCCCGGTTTGATCCCCAGAAACATAAGCTGATGGTATGTTGCTATGTCTGGATCTAATGGTCAGACTCAGTGACTTGGTTGACTGCGTGTCATCGTAGCCCCAACGTCGTGGATCGTTGCTCATTATATCAATCACTTGATTGTCTGGTCCTGATACGATTATTTACAGTCCGCCGTCATAGGTGGAATATTACGTTGTGTGGCGTTAAATAACAAAAAAGGAAATAAATATAAAACAGATTCAGCTGGGCGTAAAAGGCGAAATAGTGATGACGACCACATTTAAACATTTAGGTACGGGTCAAGATTAAAATCATCAACCAAGTAACTGCACATGAATAGGTAATTGCAGAACCTATAGCTATATACCGATTATACAATCAGGAATGTTTTTGTCCACAATCGGGAACTAGAAATAACCAGATGCGCTTTGTTGAAGCATTGTCCTAAGGTTATATGAGTAGCAGTTTTTGCACACCTTACATTTGAAAAACAACGGAAACGGTTTCTGCATTTCGCAAGATATTACTTCACAGCAGCAGCAGATGTAGGGTGCCAAGTATATACCACCGCGAGGTGCATGACCTGTGGCAATTGTATGTTGGAAATGTATTTTTTATGTGTGACTCCAACGGGGGAGGGGAGGTGAGGTGAAATTGGGTTTAACGTCGCGTCCAAGATTATTGCACTTATATAGCGACATGCATGCACGTGTGTGTGTGTGTGTGTGTGTGTGTGTGTGTGTGTGTATGTATCGGCTTGTACTAGTCCGGACTGATGCCGATTTATAGTGCTAGCCCACTGAGATACCATGCCGCAGTTTAACATGGATACCCCGCTCAGACACAGTATACTGACTCCGAGCCGACCAGTCCTTGTTTTAACCCCTTAATGCCGAGCGCCTGACAGGGTAACAACAAGTACCATCTTTTAACGTCTTTTGGTATGATCGAACCCCGGACCTTCCGCTCTCCGGGCGAACGCTCTACCACTAGACCACGGAGGCCGTCCCAGCGGGGGAGGGTTTAAGGGGGTATTGAGCAGCTCGCTTGATGCAGTTGTGTTGATGTTTACACATAACAATATACAATGGACAAACATTTAAATAAACTTTAAAATGCAAAGTTTAAATGAACAAACTGTCTAGGTTCAGGCAATACGTATGTGGGTGAGTGAGTATTGTTCCACGTCGCCTTTGGAGCAATAGCGATAAGAGAGGACAAGCTAATTAACTGCGAATGAAAGCCGCTGTGTGATGAAATTGACCTGTTTAACCTTTATTGAAACGTTTGCTTGTGAATGTTTGCTTTTGCAATCTGAATGCTATTACACTGTTACGTAAAAGTAAACAATATTTGATTTCCAAGAGAATTCACTCATGACGAAAGAACACGGACAATCGTGATATGTGTCATTTTAAGCTTTAGAAGATATTATTCCACTTTGTTATTGTTGATAAAGTGGTTTCAAACAAAAAGAATCAATTTTAGGATCTGACACAACGAAACAGAAACACTAGCCACCACAACCACCAATAACACCACCGTCATCATAATATGCACTATCACCACCATCATCATCAACACAACCACCAATAACACCACCGTCATCATAATATGCACTAGGGGGCACGAGTGGCCCAGTCGTCTAAGGCGCCGCGATTCGCTGTGCAGAGTTGCGTCCCTTGGGCACGCCAGAAACCTATGATTGTGGGTTCGGATCCCGGTTTGCCCCGATTATGTTTCTAGGTTTGTCAGCACCATACCCGTGCTCGTGGGTTTCACCGAAGTGGTAAACGTCTGAGACCTGCATCACTTCGGGCTTTCCTCCCACATTAAGCAGACACGCCGCGATATAACTGGAATACTGTTAAAAGCGGCGTTAACCCCAACTCACTCACTCACTAATATGCTCTATCACCACCGTCAACAAAATATCCCCCCCCCCCCCCCCCCCATCATCCCCATACCACCACCATCATCATCAACACAACCACTTACAGCACCACGACTACTATGACCACCCCAACCCCAACCACAACTACCCAACACACCCACCACCACTAATCTCCCTAACTATCGATTTCTTGTTCTACGGCCTCCCATCCAGTGAATCCATGTCTTGTTGCCATAATGCATATACAGCAGTATAGCAGTTTACTACAGGCACAACTGATTCGACTATCACTTTCTGGTGGTATGATGAACAACGCCAGTGTTGTTTTGCCTACTAGTTTAAAGTTGTCGATCAATGATGTATTGAGTTTGTGACAAAACCGAGACCAAAACACTTTGCCATCAGACATATCGATATGTAAGAGTGTGTCGTAGCGTAGAGAGGTTACAATGCATTCAGCTTTAGAAAAAGGAGCAAGGGCCGTATCATACAAAGTCTTGTGGTTTAAACGTCATTTCATGGACAGGGATGAAACCCGAGAAGATTCGGCCGGGTTAGAATTGGTCTTCAGCAACCCATGCTTGTCGTAAGAGTCGACTATACTTCTCGTTGGGACAACTAACGGGATCGGTTGGTCAGGATCGCTGATTGCATGTCATCGTATCCCAATCGATGATATCAATCACTGGATTGTCTGGTCCGGACTCAAATATTTACAGACCGCCGTCATTGAGCTGGAATAGTGCGGCGTAAACCAACAAACACACACTATTAAGAGATAAGACCTCTTCTGACTACTGTGATCATGAGATCGTATTGAGTTATATTTCAGAACCTTGTCGACTAGGTACGTGTATGCTATACTCCCATGGGAGCTGAAAATGTATTTCAATTAACACTTCATCACTTTATCTGGATAATTGTTTCACTCGCTTTGACCATGAAGTGGCCCATTGTATAGCGACTAACCCTCAGGCTTTCTAAAAGACTATTATCAGTGTAAGGTACAACTCCCCCTGGTCATCTTACAACGACCTCAGACAAAGAAAGATCCAAATCGTCTTGTCATAGTGGTACTTTAGGTACATGCTGTATAGAATACTGCTAGAAAGTGTGAAACTTGCTGTTATTCAATCCACACGTCCTTTGCGGTTCAATAAACAACGCTGACAATATGGATTGAATTATCGGTACAAAACCTAACCATGTTGGCATGAATAATTTCCACTGATTATTTGTTACCTGGGAAAACAAACAACAATAACAACACGGTCGTTATTGCAAATTTAATATTTAATTCGAAACTAGGTGACGATCGATGCGAATACAAATGATTGTTCACTTCAAAGTATGTGATACGAAAGCGTAGGCTTTAGTGTTTAACATCAGAGTGACAGAAATAGAAACGTAGCAGGTAGATTGTTTGACGGGAACATCTCGTGGGTTGTGTGTGTGTGTGCGTGTGTGTGTGTGTGTGTGTGTGCGTGCGTGCGTGCGTGCGTGCGTGCGTGCGTGCGTGCATATATATATATATATATATATATATATATATATATTTACTGAACCAAATTAAAAACTTCACATTCCCAAAATTTTAACATTTTGACCAGTTATCATTGTGGGCCTTTATTGTGTATTTAAACAGTAATGGCCACGTATTGTCTTCAGATAACACCTGTTTTTGTGCAGGTGAATCGATCAAAATCATGTGCACAGCACTATAGTGGCAAAAGTGGTTTTTCACGTGCAACTGGTCACGTGGCCATAATATCGCACGTGTTTTCAGCCATACTTGTTAGCAGTCATTAACAAAAAAAGAAAAACCCAAGAAAACAAAAGTCTTTACGGCTATTTGTCATGCCACGCCTTTCAAATGTGCAACGTGAACGTACCATCGGCATGTTGCAGACGGGAACGTCCGTAGCTGAAGTCGCAAGGACGATGGGTTGTAGTCGACGGACTGTTTATGATTTACAGACGCGTCCACAGCAAACGGGTACCACCGCTGATCGCCCTCGGCCAGGTCGACCACGTGTGACGCAACATGCAGAGTATCGTCAGATTGTCTTACGTCACCCCCGTAATCGATTTTTGACGGCTAATGAAATGAACTGTTTAGGGGTAGACTAAGTGCGCAAACTGTTCGAAACCGTCTGAGAACTGCTCACCTTCAAGCACGACGGCCATACTGCGGGCCGATTCTGACTCAATAATACAGACGTCAACGTCAATTGTGGGCACAGCGACACTTACGATGGACTCAGAGGAATTGGAATCAAGTCGTCTTCAGTGATGAATCCCGATTTAATCTTCGATTTTCTGATGGTAGGGCGAGGGTGTGGAGGCGCCCTCATGAACGTTACGCCCAGTGTTGTGTACAGGAAGATAACAGATTTCGAGGCGGAAGTGTCATGGTGTGGGGTGCTTTCTGTGGCAATGCACGCTCCAGGCTTCTTGTCATCCGTGGCAACCTCAACGCTGCTGCTTACCGAGACCAAGTACTGGCACCAGAACTTATTCCTTTTATGGCAGCACATGGACCCGGTTTGATCTTCCAACACGACCATGCCAGACCCCACACAGCAATTTTGACAAGAAATTTCCTTCAGAATGCGGGAGTCAATGTCATGGACTGGCCGTCGTCTCCCGACCTCAATCCCATCGAACACGTCTGGGATGCTCTTGGCAGAAGTCTGCGCACTCTCCAGAACCAACCACAGAATTTGCAAGATCTTGGCACCATTTTGCAGCAACAATGGCGTCGTCTTCCCAATCATGTGTTCACAAGCATCTCAAGGTCCATGCGGAGGCGTATATATCATATATGGGATTACTTTTAAAAATGTGAAGTTTTTAATTTGACTCAGTATATATATATATATATATATATATATATATGTGTGTGTGTGTGTGTGTGTGTGTGTGTGTGTGTGTGTGTGTGTGTGTGTGTTTTCGTGTACTGGAGGAGGCGTTCGTTGATAGATGCACATTGTACATGTAGCCAATGTTCCTTTGTATGATTGATCATTTGTACATTTGGTAAGTCGAGACTGGTATTGTATTGTATTGCATTGTTGTATATTAAATGGTATCAATATGCATAGGACCACCATGCAGGCTTACATAAGTCAATATACCCGTTATCATATATGTTATCATATGCGTTTTGACGAACTGTTTTCCACACGACTGTGTGACAAGAGGGGTAACTTCAACATTCCAATAGTCAAATGACACTTTATGTCGACCGATATTCCAGAAGCTCAAGCCTTTCGTGTCTACATTTCACAACTTCTGGGGTATAATTGAGCATGCTCTTTCTACAAAATGTCAAAGAGCGTCAGGAGAGCTTCAGAAACGTCTAATGGTATTCATGTGACCATTTCCAAAGTTGACGCATCAATGACTGAAATTATGTCCGATGCAATTCCCTATTTTTACTTTGCTTTCCATGTGTTTGTTGCGGGTGTGGGGCAGGATGCGCTCACCCTGTTACGATCACCCCGTATTATCCCTATTTGGTTGTTTTTCACATGCTCATGATATGGTCAAATCGTAGAGTGGGCAATGGAAAGAGATTTCTTATTAATCTGAAAGGGTTTTGTTGCTTTTATTTGCAAAAGGTTCAGGACAATTAATCCACAATTCCACCTACAAGAAGAAAGGATAATTATTGTTTAAATGAAACTAAACTTCAATCATAATAACATACGTTCGACACTAACGTTACAATATTATGCAGTCATATCACGCCAAGCCAGCGAAATGTTTGGGAAAACTAATTGATGTCGCCCGTTCACAAGTGCTACACTAGGGAAATCACCGAGTAAACTTTTATAAAAATACGAAACAAAAGAACAGAAGAAACATGCAATTGATCAGTGAATGGGTAAATGGGTGAGTGGGGCTTTATTTCACTCATCAGTGTGTGTCAGCTTACTATGGGAGGAATTTAAAAGTGATGTAAAATGCCAGCGTAAGATAGTATACACCCATGTTTGATGATGGCAAAAAATGAAATAAACAGGAAATGTTTTTTTGATGGGATGTATTTGTATCATAGTTGTGTTTTGGACCTTAGTTTTGCAGTTTGACTGTTTTCAGCCTAGTGACGTTTTAAAAAAAACGTTTGTAACTTTTTGGTCAAATCCGATTTTGAAGTGTTAACTCTTTTTGCACGGGAGTGTAGGTCGTAGACACTTCTACTTCCTTGTATGGTGGCTCCAACGATCATGGGTATGATGCTGACAGACCGTGTAGAAACAGTAGAAATGAATCTTAAATTGAAACCTACGATCAGCGGACACTGGGATATAAGGGACGCAACACTGCACAGTGGTATCATATACCACTGAACGTGATATAAATATATATAAAATAGAAGAAAACAGTACAACTGTTAGTACCTACCAGTCAGATTGTCGCAGTCGCGGAACAAATTCCCGTATTGAGAGAAGAGAAAAACTTGGACTACGTCTTTAACGTGACCCTTACTGTCAACGCTTCCGTTGTCAAAGACCCTGACGTACATGGGCGAGTGGTAATGTTCGGCAACGTGGTTGGTCAGTGACGTGTTCTTCTCCGGCTTGGACATCATTGTCGTGATTACTTTGTATGGGGATGTGCCATGGGGATGTGTTTATGATTTACAGACGCGTCCACAGCAAACGGGTACCACCGCTGATCGCCCTCGGCCAGGTCGACCACGTGTGACGCAACATGCAGAGTATCGTCAGATTGTCTTACGTCACCCCCGTAATCGATTTTTGACGGCTAATGAAATGAACTGTTTAGGGGTAGACTAAGTGCGCAAACTGTTCGAAACCGTCTGAGAACTGCTCACCTTCAAGCACGACGGCCATACTGCGGGCCGATTCTGACTCAATAATACAGACGTCAACGTCAATTGTGGGCACAGCGACACTTACGATGGACTCAGAGGAATTGGAATCAAGTCGTCTTCAGTGATGAATCCCGATTTAATCTTCGATTTTCTGATGGTAGGGCGAGGGTGTGGAGGCGCCCTCATGAACGTTACGCCCAGTGTTGTGTACAGGAAGATAACAGATTTCGAGGCGGAAGTGTCATGGTGTGGGGTGCTTTCTGTGGCAATGCACGCTCCAGGCTTCTTGTCATCCGTGGCAACCTCAACGCTGCTGCTTACCGAGACCAAGTACTGGCACCAGAACTTATTCCTTTTATGGCAGCACATGGACCCGGTTTGATCTTCCAACACGACCATGCCAGACCCCACACAGCAATTTTGACAAGAAATTTCCTTCAGAATGCGGGAGTCAATGTCATGGACTGGCCGTCGTCTCCCGACCTCAATCCCATCGAACACGTCTGGGATGCTCTTGGCAGAAGTCTGCGCACTCTCCAGAACCAACCACAGAATTTGCAAGATCTTGGCACCATTTTGCAGCAACAATGGCGTCGTCTTCCCAATCATGTGTTCACAAGCATCTCAAGGTCCATGCGGAGGCGTATATATCATATATGGGATTACTTTTAAAAATGTGAAGTTTTTAATTTGACTCAGTATATATATATATATATATATATATATATGTGTGTGTGTGTGTGTGTGTGTGTGTGTGTGTGTGTGTGTGTGTGTGTGTTTTCGTGTACTGGAGGAGGCGTTCGTTGATAGATGCACATTGTACATGTAGCCAATGTTCCTTTGTATGATTGATCATTTGTACATTTGGTAAGTCGAGACTGGTATTGTATTGTATTGCATTGTTGTATATTAAATGGTATCAATATGCATAGGACCACCATGCAGGCTTACATAAGTCAATATACCCGTTATCATATATGTTATCATATGCGTTTTGACGAACTGTTTTCCACACGACTGTGTGACAAGAGGGGTAACTTCAACATTCCAATAGTCAAATGACACTTTATGTCGACCGATATTCCAGAAGCTCAAGCCTTTCGTGTCTACATTTCACAACTTCTGGGGTATAATTGAGCATGCTCTTTCTACAAAATGTCAAAGAGCGTCAGGAGAGCTTCAGAAACGTCTAATGGTATTCATGTGACCATTTCCAAAGTTGACGCATCAATGACTGAAATTATGTCCGATGCAATTCCCTATTTTTACTTTGCTTTCCATGTGTTTGTTGCGGGTGTGGGGCAGGATGCGCTCACCCTGTTACGATCACCCCGTATTATCCCTATTTGGTTGTTTTTCACATGCTCATGATATGGTCAAATCGTAGAGTGGGCAATGGAAAGAGATTTCTTATTAATCTGAAAGGGTTTTGTTGCTTTTATTTGCAAAAGGTTCAGGACAATTAATCCACAATTCCACCTACAAGAAGAAAGGATAATTATTGTTTAAATGAAACTAAACTTCAATCATAATAACATACGTTCGACACTAACGTTACAATATTATGCAGTCATATCACGCCAAGCCAGCGAAATGTTTGGGAAAACTAATTGATGTCGCCCGTTCACAAGTGCTACACTAGGGAAATCACCGAGTAAACTTTTATAAAAATACGAAACAAAAGAACAGAAGAAACATGCAATTGATCAGTGAATGGGTAAATGGGTGAGTGGGGCTTTATTTCACTCATCAGTGTGTGTCAGCTTACTATGGGAGGAATTTAAAAGTGATGTAAAATGCCAGCGTAAGATAGTATACACCCATGTTTGATGATGGCAAAAAATGAAATAAACAGGAAATGTTTTTTTGATGGGATGTATTTGTATCATAGTTGTGTTTTGGACCTTAGTTTTGCAGTTTGACTGTTTTCAGCCTAGTGACGTTTTAAAAAAAACGTTTGTAACTTTTTGGTCAAATCCGATTTTGAAGTGTTAACTCTTTTTGCACGGGAGTGTAGGTCGTAGACACTTCTACTTCCTTGTATGGTGGCTCCAACGATCATGGGTATGATGCTGACAGACCGTGTAGAAACAGTAGAAATGAATCTTAAATTGAAACCTACGATCAGCGGACACTGGGATATAAGGGACGCAACACTGCACAGTGGTATCATATACCACTGAACGTGATATAAATATATATAAAATAGAAGAAAACAGTACAACTGTTAGTACCTACCAGTCAGATTGTCGCAGTCGCGGAACAAATTCCCGTATTGAGAGAAGAGAAAAACTTGGACTACGTCTTTAACGTGACCCTTACTGTCAACGCTTCCGTTGTCAAAGACCCTGACGTACATGGGCGAGTGGTAATGTTCGGCAACGTGGTTGGTCAGTGACGTGTTCTTCTCCGGCTTGGACATCATTGTCGTGATTACTTTGTATGGGGATGTGCCATCGGGAATGTTGACGTCAACACCTTCAAGGGGTTTCATATAGTTGGTGATGTTGTCAAGGTTGAAGCCTCGATACTGCCAGTAGTCTGTCGTAACGGCAACGATCAACAAGACGACGATGTTACCGGAGAGGATGAGGGTGGAATAGTTGCAGATTGCAACCATCGTCGGTGAGCAACAAGTCGGCATTAGGAAAACTCAAGTTTTACGCCATGTGGACGAGGAACATACAACAGCTTCAGACTCGAACATCCATTGTGAAGCATCACTTGTTCAAACCAGAGATTCTCAAAGCAACTCGCACAATGACGCCTTTTATATCTTCACTTCAATCAACCTTCCTAATGTTCACTTAATTCTTCTTAAAAAATCTGAATGACTCCCCGTTATTCAATGTATAGGTATATATATTCATTAAAACAATGAACATTTAGGTGTCGCTTTGTTCTCTAAAACGTCCTGTATTCAATCTTGGATCCAACGATCACAATGTTCACTGACACGTAATGGCACTAATGGTAAAGTTGACACTCGTCAACCTCGAACTAAATACACTTCCATTCCTTAAATCGACCTTCTCTTTTCATGTCCCTGAATCCGACACACATGGCAGTGCCAACGTTCAGACATGAGGGAGTGTCCCGTGCGACTGTTGTCAGGTGATGAGTGATCTCTGTATACATCACGTCTGATGCCAAATAGCGGCCCTTGTGGCCATTTGGAATTGGGTTTAGAAACTCAATCAAACTAAGCTATAAAGTTTCCTGGCTATAAACCTATCAATAATTTAGCCTGTTCGTTCCAGTCCACCTGCGACCGCCTCTTTATCAGGTGCAACGCAATGACAATTGACAAGCAGACGTTAAACGCCGCCATCTTGAAATCGATGCAAATTTGAATAACGATTGTTGTGCTCTTGTGGGAAAGATCCGTATCCCTTAAGAATACAAAAAACACATGTTCCCTCGTGAGATGTAAGAATTAAAGCCACCAGTAGCTACGTGAATACGAACTCCATTTACTCGAGGTGTTGTTTAAAACTATGACGATTGGGCCTGGACCAATTGGAAGTCACAGCCGATGTTTGTTTTTTTCTGCTCAACTCAACTCAAATGTTGAGATGCATATCAAGCATGCCCCTAATGATCCCCAACGACGCAATATGTCACCTTCACATATGGCACAGATTCACCATATATCCCTGGCCATAAGCTCCAGCCAGTAGGGCATGACGCCCCTTTAAGACAATATAGTTCTCACATGATCCTATCTCGAACTCATATTATATTCAATAAACCCACGGAATTTCACTGTGAATGTTTCTCAATGTTCTAGATACACAATGGGTGAATTGATTTTCATGTAATGTTTTGCAAAATAGAATATGTTTGTACATAACGGACTTGCAGGGTTACATGTGAAGGTTTCAGGTTATGGCTCTTGAGATCGTATGCTCAACCTGCCCATAAAGATCTGGGTTAGAGTTTGTTGTCATAGGAGGTGACTATTCTTGTAAGACTTTCGGGATCGTGTGGTCAAGCTCGCTGACTTGGTTGATGCATGTCATCGTATCTCTACATTGCTCATGGTGTCATTCACTGGATTGTCTGGTCCAGACTCGATTCTTTACAGACCGCCGTCATATAGTTGTAATATTTGTGGCGTAAACTAAAACAACTATAACAAAAAAATAATTGCCTGTGTAAAGTTGAGCTTTTTAAAATCGCAACATACGCTGCACATTTCTGTACTTTTCTTTCGAAAACATCTCTTGCCATCACCTTTACTCTGTGGGGGCGGTCGGGTAGCCTAGTGGTTAAAGCGGCCGAAGACGCGGGTTCGATTCCCGACATGCATGGGTACAATGTGTGAAGCCCATTTGTGGTGTCCCCCGCCGTGATATTGCTGTAATATTGCTAAAAGCGGCGCAAAACTATACTCACTCACTCACAGTTTTATGTACTGACAAGCCGTCTAAGGATTCTAATTTGGGTTCGGGAAGAAACTGACAGTGATTACACAGAGTATCATAGTTGGCAAGGCAGCAAAACGAGGTGAGGTGAAATGTGTTCACGATTACTGCATATGTGTGAGTGCGTGTGGGCTGCCAGTACACGTCCGCATTGATGCCAGTTTTTTAGTGCTATCCTACTGAGATACTGTGCCGCAGTTAAACATGAATACCCCTCAGACACTCCGAGCTGACCAGTCCTTGTTATATCCCCTAGTGCCAAGCATCATGGTATCAACAAGTACCTACCTTTAACGTATTTTGGTATGATGCGGCCGGGGATCGAACCCCGGACCTTCCGCTCTCCGGGGGCTCTGTCCACTTCACCTCGGGCATGACACAGGATAGAGTTTCACGCTACTATTAGCAATAGCTCAGAGGTTTCCAAACATGAGACACAACGACCAGTTTCACACAATTTACCAATGTGGGAATCGAACCCGGTCCTTTTAGCCAGGTGAGGTACTTATATGTAGCTCCATGAGAGGGAAGGATTCTCACTGACATATTCAATTAGATACCTTAAAATTAACAATTGAAACGTTATCATACAGAACCTTGCGTGTGACTACAACGATAGCCGTCCTATCGATCCGTGAAACAATGGTTGCTGACAACCATTAAAACTATATACGTTCGATATCGGAACTCCAGCACATGTTTTGGCCTCACGGGTCCACTGCCCACCTGCACTTGGTCAAACATGATGACATCAAAATCAGAAACATACAATTAAGTAAGACCCATGACGATCCGGGACAGAACAGGTCTTCAGCAATCCTTGCTTGTCGAAAGAAGCGACTAACGGGATCGAGTGGCCAGGCTCCCTGACTTGGTTGATGCATGTCATCGTATACCAATTAGGTGGATCGATGCGCATCAGGTCAATCACTGGATTGTCTGGTCCAGACCCGATTATTTACAGATCGCCGTCATAAAGCTGGAATATCTCGGCGTCAGGAAACAAACAAACAAACAATTAAGTAAAACATTCACTATTACACAAAAATGAGCAGTCACATGTCGCGGCTCCAAAAACGTATTCCAACATTCTTCAGGGTTGTTCAGTCGGCAATGTCCCTATGTGCAGTCATGGACAGAGAAGAAGAATGAAATAGGTCAAGTTCAGCCAAGTCGAAGTTCGGGATGGAGAGATACTTATTCTGAATTTGTAGTAGTGTTGCGAGTTATTTCAAAACAGCTTGTACATAGTTCTGTACTTTTCGTCATTACGCTTCTACAGCCTGCCACCCCTACAGTGGGAGGTGCCATGTTGATTTCCAAAAAATGACTTAGTAGCGTCAAAGCTGTGCAGTATATGAAATATACTGAATGTTCTTACTGTGTATGGAGGGTTATTTGATTACATCGTTTTATATTTTCTAACCATGATTTTAACCAGTTAATAATATATAGAATTAAAATTGAAATTTAGTAATATTTCTTACAGTTTTCACTACCCCTGCTCCCTTTTTGGATTGTTCTAAGATAGCGGACCTCTTCACCAATAACTTCCAAAAGAGAACCGTTTGAAAAGCGTTCTTGTAGTCATTGCACTCGGTTCAAATAGAAACAAGATTATTGAGCTACATCCAATTTCAAAACACAGCAGGTGTATCTGATCATTGAGACCACTGAGATTGTACATTGGCCCAAAAATCACATAACTATTTTTGTTGATGTAATTACAACCAATTCAAACTAAAATCTCTTTGTCGCAAAACAGTGTGATAAGTAACACTCAAGGCTTAGCAACCTAATAGTTAAGAGTCGTGTCGTTTGACGAAATCTGATGATATAGTTGCGGTGGTTTATGACGAAAATGTTGAAACCACTTGGTTTTGTCTGTAAGAACCCGACCGGTCCATCTGATGACTTGGAGGGTTCAAAAGCACATGTTGGTCTGCGTAAGAGGCGACTAACGGGATCGGGTGGTCAGGCTCGCTTGGTTGGTGCATGTCATCGTATCCCACTTGCGTAGGTCGATACTCATGATTTCAATCACTGGGTTGTCTGGTCCAGACTCGATTATACAGACCGCCGTCATATTGTTTTGATATTGCTAAATGCGGCGTTAAACAGCAAACAAACAAACAAAACGTGTTGTCCTGACAAACTGTAGGACATAGTTTGAAGCAGACATAAAATACCACTAAACATCACTGTACCTCTAACGGCACGTGTTGGCATTAAATACGATTGTATTTTTGTAAAAAGCATGCCAGCTGTTACAATATAACTCATATGAAATTTTAAATTATGAACTGTTTCAAATATGCAATTGTATGATTCGAAGGATATTCATAAGTTCGTGACGAAGCATTTATGTGTTTGAGCGATTTATTGATTTCCTGTAAAACTCATTTGCCATTAGACCTTGTACAATTATCTCGTCCCTACAAAATAGCGACCAAAGCATATTTCTCAAAACTATCAAACGAATATGCTAACTTCACATATCAGTTTGATTTTGAAATAAAGATGTTTCAATGCACAATGAGAAATACAAGGCGCCCATTAGATACATCTAAATGTGCTGATGAGAAACAAAAGATGATGAGATCAGTCGGTGAATGGGACGGGATGGCAGCGGAAAGCCGTAGCGATACTGCGTCCGGAAGAGAAGAAATCTCTACTCGTTAGTGAGTGCATGACTGTTGTTTTACGCCGTACCCATCTTACTTTAAACTGTATCTATACGTGTAAATACTGGTGTTCGAACCAGGCAAACCAATGGTTGATAGCATGAACACCGATGATCACACAAAGCCACACATTGTAAACACACGATTATCATTTTAGTGGACAAATACCACAAGCTGCATGTCTAAAACGGTAGTTATGCCAGAGTTTTTTCTGTTTGGGTCTACGGATGTTTGGGACCGTCTCCGTGGTCTAGTGGTAGAGCGTCCGCCCGGAGAGCGGAAGGTCCGGGGTTCGTTCCCCGGCCGCGTCATACCAAAAGACGTTAAAAGTTGGTACTTGTTGTTACCCTGTCTGGCGCTCGACATTAAGGGGCCAAAAGAAGGACTGGTCGGCCCGGATTCAGTATACTGTGTCTGAGTGGGGAATTCATGTTAAATTGCGACACGGTATCTCAGTGGGCTAGCACTATAAATCCACATCATTCCGGACTTGTACAAGCAGCCACACACACACACACACACACACACACACACACACACGTGCATGCACGTCGGTATATAAGTGCAATAATCTTGGACGCGACGTTACTCCCTATTTCACCTCACCTTACGGATGTTTGATCCAAATATTTAGGTCAGTAGCTCGTAACGTTTGCCACAGTTCTTTTAATTATAACATTTTATACAGCATTTGTGTTGTCATGCATCAAACAAGTCTGACCACCCGATCCCGTTAGTCGCCTCTTTCGACAAGCATAGTCGCCTTTTACGTCAAGCAGGGTTGCTGAACCGGGATCTTCACGGGCCTGTACGAAATGTGTTTATGTGTGATAATCTCAGTTCGTATTGTGCAGGTGTTGTGATATGCTATGCAGAGTTGTGTCCCTTAGCCTGCCAGACTGCAAGCTCCTGGCAAGCGCGCGTCACCTTCGTTTCACTCTCGGTAACAACTGCCACCATTCGTGACCAACTCGTGTTATTCCGGGACAAGCCGAATAGCGACTCGTGCCCCTCTCATGGCCATTTTTGCAACCGGGTTCCGTCTTAGAGCAAACGGGCGTACCTAAAACAATTGTCAACTCGTTGTGTAATGGTTCACATATATTTCCCCATATATTATATATATTTAAGATGCAATTTAAAGCACATCTGGACATGCGGAATTATACAGTATGATTGAACACATTTAACTGTGTCTTGGGTATATTTTTAGATGCAAGACATATGTAAAATCAAAAAAATATTTCTGAGGGATTCTTTGATGAACAACTTGAAATCATACGCGCATTCTGATTGGTTTGTCGTATTTTCGCACATAACATTCATTCATAGGGGGACGAGTCTTCTTGGAGGTTACGGAGTGGTGACAAATGCGCTGTCATAAGTGTTGGCGCGGCCTTTACAAGAATCTTGAACTGTGTCCTCTAACCCCAAATATAGTGACGTTTATACTTTTATGTCTTTGAGAATGCCTATAAGTAATTATTTAAAAGGTTTACGACTGACCATACTTCCCAGATGAATTTACCTTTTTGATTGATTTATCGGATTGGTTCGAGATTGCAGACGAACAGAACATCAACCAACTTCTCCCTTACATTGTTACCATACCAATTACATGATAGTTGTAATGAAACAGACATTCAAACTGACAAACAAAGAAGATAATTTAGTAGGGGTAAGAGTATTCGGCGTCACGGCAGTCATCACTTGTTTGCAAACATAACGGTCAGTCGGGTGCGAGTTCAACTCCAAGCATGGTTGTTGCCACATATTACAGTGGGGAGCTTTGACAGGTGGCAGCGATAGTATAGAGCTCCGCGAACGGGATATCGCTGTGAGGAGCTTGGCCAGACTGATGAGGGTGAGTTGACTACCATACCTGCATCCCCAGCTAATGAAGTTTCACGGTGGTTTCTTAGCAACCCACACGCGTTAATGAGTTTCATCATAAGCGTTGAGGTCTACCTTCTGCGCCACACTCCTCCCCACATCAATCTGCAAGCCGTGAAATAGCGGAAATAATCAAAGTAGCATCTAACTCACTCACTTACCAATTCCCCCGTGATTAGGATGGATGCTTGTCGTAAGAGGCGACTAACGGGATTGGATGGTCATGCTTGCTGTCTCGGTTGATACATGGCGACGTAGATCGATGCTCGTGATGTCGATCATTGGAGTGTTTGGTTCAGAATCGATTATTTACAGGCCGTTATGAAGCGTGAATAACGCGGAGTAAACAACAAACAAACAAACAAGACAAACACTCACCATTATCAGTGTGTTAAGTTCGGCTCCCTCAAAACAAACAAACAAGACAAACACTCACCATTATCAGTGTGTTTAGTTCGGCTCCCTCCTTTTGTTTTACCTTAGACTGAACGAAAGAGTGATTGAGAGAGTATTGTTTTATGCCGCTCTCAGCAAATATTCCAACACTATCACGGCGGGGGTGAACAGCAAAAGACCTTCAGACATTGTACCCATGTGGGGAATCTGTCCAGGGTCACTTCATCCTCTAGACTACCCCACCGTCCTTTGAATTAACGATTGAAGATGTTTATGTTATCTTTGAAAACAGCAATACATTGAATACTTTCAACGACAAAATCGTTTTGGAAATAATTATACTTTTATTGTCAATGAAATGGATTAACAGTACAGGTGAATTAAACAACAAGAATAACACAGCTTTAACAACATTATGGCCAATAAACAAATAACATGCGATTCAAAATATTGGCATTAAAAAGTAATATTATTATTATGATTTTATTACGAGCAGTAATAAATTGGATGGATTCCAGATAAATGTATATAAATTGAATGTATTGCTTGAAAATGTATTGCACAATTAATATTGTAAAATGTGTTTTGATCAAAACTAAATGGATAAATGGAAAATAATCATGTTTACAGTAGATGGAATTAAAAATGTTATAGAAAGGTTGTCATATATAATTGTCATCAAAATGGAACACTCGCAAACACAAACAGAATACGTTGTGACTCCAGATACCGTAAATGTGCAAACAAATGTCTTTGAATCGAACAACAATTGTAGGTGAAGTAGGTGTTAAGTTAGGACGTTGGTCCATGTTTCACAATAGGCAAATTGATTTTGAACTGGCGAGGTAATACTAAAAGTAACAAAATAAAATTCTAGACTCGTCCATGAAACCTATTACGTAGCTTCACTGTCAAAATGTATAGATCTATTCCCGATCTATTTTCACCACATGACATGCTTACCCTTCGTTTAACGATCTGTGTATAATCGCAAAGATATTTGGGAACTTCTCGTTTCGACATTGGGAAGCATTTGAGTGGAATGATTATCAGACTATGTCAGGTATATAAGTATAGTTTTTATTTTGCTATTCGTGTTTAGTTTTAGAGAGGTTTTAATGCATTAATAACAGTGACACCAGTTAATCTGGACGGTATTGATTTTACGAGTTACTGGTCGTAAAGTCCCTCTAAATACGTCAGTACGTTTCCGACTTTCATTAATCGGCCAGAAAATGTGGTATAAGGACTAAAAGGGTTTTACTCTAGATATACAAGATTCCATGTACAACTCACGGGGACTCTATTTACAATTATTATGTGTATGAAATAATATAGTCAAAACGAGCACCACATATGTAGACTACGTGTAGTTATTAGAATCCCGGCGTAGTGGCGTGGCGTGGCGTGGCGTGGCGTGGCGTGGCGGTAGTCGCGGTAACAGCAATTGCAGTAGCAGAATTAGCAGTAATAGAAGAGTGGACCAAACAGGTAGGGATGGGTTACATTAAAGGAACGCTCCATGGGTCTAAATAAAACAAAATTCACAAGTATAATATCAACATTAATTGAGATAGTTTATAAAACCGCCGGAAGACATCCACCTGTTCTAACCAGTAACCGTACATGATTGAGCTCCCCATTCAAAGCACTAGAAATCAGAAAATGAAATGGAAGCCTCTATTATATTTCGTTTTCAAAATGGACTTACCTTACACGCCACCTTGCCGTGTGGACTGAAGGTGCAGGGGTTTAGATCTACACTTTCACAAAGAAAGATACTACGATTATATTCGGGGAATATAATCTGAAGCAGTTATCCCCCTTTATACGTGTCCACAGCAATTATTTCTGGTTGTTGAGAAATTCACTGGTACATGTCTGTTGATCGATACTCAGTCTACACTTGAGACGATGTCTTTCACTGCTCGTCTATCAGGGTTTTACTTTCATTAAAAAAAACATCTTTTCAATCAATATATTTGAAAGTGAAACTGTTAATGTCATATACAAACTATGGATGTGAAGGGTTTGAGGCTAAAACATGAATATTATCATAAACGTAGACATATTATAATAAGGTTCTGCATTGCTCGCACAAGTGACGTCACAAGAAGCCGTTAGTACAGTCGTGATTGGTCACTGTATATAACATATTAGCTAGTACATTCGTTATTGGTCACTGTATATAACATATTAGCTAGTACAGTCGTGATTGGTCACTGTATATAACATATTAGCTAGTACACTTTGTATGTATAAAGATGATTACCAGTGTGAACATATTAGATGCAGCAACTAAGAAAATGTCTCTTTGGATCAAGTATAATATAAAAGCAGGAAGCAAACCCTGAAACTAGAAAGGTAGTAATATGATAACATGGACCTCGTCACGAGGTCGGGTAAGTTTGGTGGTCCCTTGTTCAATAGCTAATGTACAATCTATTCTGTTACATAACTGCTTTTCAATAACATTATTGTCTCTTTGGTTCTCCGCTCTATTCAAATTCAATAAGCTAAAATATCCATATCTGGAACAAAGGAAGGATCTAGAAACTCTTTGAGATGGTAACAGTCATAGTGGAATTTCAATATGGATCAAACACGGAAGTCTGCTTCTGCCACAATTTTGTTACTTTAGAATCACAAAAAAACAAAAGGTTCTAAAGAATAAAACTAATGCTAAATAATAATTTACTGCCATTAATATATTACAACTGTGTTTAAAATGAACCCAATGTTATTTATATTTACAATAGGACAATTGTATGACATGTTCAGTAATAAGATGAGGAATACAATATTACGTCGAGCAATGGTACAGCGGGTTAGAATGAAAATGGTCTGTCTGCACCACAAACAAGTCTCGTGTTTTACTGTGATGCGATATCTCTCTGCGGTAAGATCTGACGACATAGAAGGTCACGTCAGGTGATCTCTGAACAACCTTTGACCGCCCAATCAAAATGAAGGATGCATGGGCTGCTGAACCAATCGGACGTTAGCTTTCTTCAACGAATTGGATTCCTTTCTTTACAAGATCGATTCGTAAATTTTGATTTTAACGAACTGAAACCAATACAGGACTCAAATTTGCCTTCGATAGAACTCCCTTTTGGGTGCAGATGACACCGAGGTCCGAAAACTCATCATAAGCGCAATGTGGTAAAATGTCAAAGGCAAAACAATGGCGTGGCATTTATTATGCACATTCGGAAAAGGTCGTTTAAGCTCGTTTTCGATATACAGAAATCCGATATGCCGATTAGAATTCTTCGCTCACTCGTACCGAGAATTTAGAAGCGTCCGTGCTAATAGGCTGATCGGAAAGTTCACCTGACGCAACCTTTTACTTAGGTGTCCTCAGATCGTCACGAAGAGAGCTGAAAATCGGTGTAAAATATCCCCCCAAATTAAATCTGCATGATTTATTACCCCACATTAAGCGGACATACCGTGTTATAACTTAAAATACAGTTCAAACGGTATACACCCCATATATAAACAATGAATATAGATTCATGATAAAGAGACTAGCACCAGTCTAGAAACGGTGGTAAAAATTACATTTGTGTAAAATTGTAACCATGGATACAGGTAGTCGAAACAGTGTCCTAGAGCAGTGTGAATATTATTATCATGATGATGATGATTGTGTGCAGAATGTGATACGGCAAATGACGTGTTCTCACCACCACAAAACATCCCTACAATATCCAACCAATAACGACACACCATACACGTCCTGGACAGAACACATCAACGGCTACTGTGTCATCGACTACCAGTGATCATATTTATAAAGGATAAATTTACCACGCGGACGGACTTGGGGACGGAACCTCATGTATAGTCATTGGTGCGTAGGCCTATGTCAAATAGAGTATTAATGACCATATGTGAGTTAGATACAAAAGACTCTATAAATCAATGAAATGATGCCAAGTGTTTGGTATTTTCTTATTTAATATATGATCCATGGGACGTGTTAATCATTTACAAGAATTCAACTTTTTTCAGATTTGCGAGCTATTGTTTGTAAAACAATAAAATAATAAAACCACAATTCTTGTGCCTATTCAAGGTGGCCTACTGACTATATGGTAGGTTTATGTGTGTATTAAAGTAACGTCTTTCACTATGTTTCAGTGGCTCATTCATAAAAGTTTCATAGCTATGTTGCCCTTTACGTCGAATGGAATCTATTTCTGTGAAACCCAAGACTGGTTCTCTTGCACTGACATTTTATATTTAGAAAATGCCCTTGGGATCTCTTCATTTTTCATAAAGTTCAATTTTTTTTCAAATTTGCGAGACGTTCGTAATGAAACATTTATATATGAAATCACCATTCTTATATAATGTGGCTAATTGAAACACAGGGTGATGTCTGAATATACAAATGTAACGTGATCTGAGCACGGTGAAATATTTTGTGGCGGCTTTAATAGTTATTCGTCAAAGATATTAATTAATAAGATAAGCTTCGGTGCTATTTTCATGGACAATTATATCGAGGATACTAAACATGTCTGATTGTCAGGTTTTTCATACTAAACACATACTGGATTCGAACCTAGGTCTTAGAGGTGACGGGGGAACGAATGACCACTGTGCTACCCATGCTCTTCCGTTACATGAAGTACCAAATGTTGTCAAATGTTTACAAAGTCAAACAAGTGCCAAAAGTCCCAGTGGAATTGGTCCTACATTTTCTGACTGGACTCAACAGCATGGCGTTATAATCACGACGTCAACGGCCTCACAACATCGTCTTTGCCTTAATGACACGTAACGCCCTCGCGACGATGAGCCACAACACGCAGGCAATGACACAGAACACGACCCCCATCCAGGCGAGGGGAATCGCCCAAAGAGGTTCCACATTCCGCGCCGGGCAGAGCGACTCCGGGACTTTGTCCATAGCATAACACTGGTAGGTCTCATAGTAATTCTTTGTGTGGAACATAGACAATCCAAATACACCGAACAGTGCTGCAAGTAAAAGTGTAAGATCATTAATATGAAGAAAGAAGAACTTTTACTGTTTTTATTTTTGAAAAATATAAATTCCATGAGTTGTCTCTTTGTCACATCAAGTCCCTCTTATCCCGAGTGATTAAGTTTGAATTAGAAACGCGTCTTATACTTCCGATCCTCGCTTTCTGTTAAAACATGTTTTACTCTTGGAATAAACTTGAATAAACCTCACACAAATGCATTTAATTTTGTAACCAAAGATGGCGAAAAAAATCCCCTAAAACATATGGCATACAAACATATTGAAACGTTATTATACGGTAACGGATTTATTATAAATCACATGTTTGAAGAAAATGATGATATTTATATTAACATCAGGTACTAAACTGCCGAACAAAAGAAAGCACGTTTTATACTCTTCGAAAATTGATTTGACCAAAACATTACATACGTTGACAAAACGTTACCATGCTGAAAACAGTTGCCAAAACACTGCAAACTTGAAGTATAAAACACAACTATGATACCGGATCAAATACATCATCATCGAATAACTATTAATTTTCTTGTTTGTTTTCCCTTTTAGCCACTCTCAAAGATGGGTATACTTTCTTTTGCCTCGCAGTGTAGTAATCAGTCCCACTATCGGCGTGTTTGAGTAGTTTTACATGAACAAAATGACGTAATGATATGAAAACGTGTAAATAAGTTTGAGAGTTGTGTACAACGTGATGGAGATCCACTCACCCGCCATGCAGTACAGGACTCCCGTCACCATGCAGCTGGCAACCTGCTTCTGGGTGATGCCGATGAGGCCAACGACACCTGCCGTCACGAGGTCGATGAGAACGACGATGTAGCAGGAGGCAGCGGAATTCTGCAGACCTGCAATGTGTTCCATGATGAGTGAGTGAGTGAGTTTTGGTTTTAAGCCGCTTTTAGCAATATTCCAGCAATATCACGGCGGGGGACACATTGTACCCATGTCGGTAATCGAACCCGGGTCTTCGGCGTAACGAGCGAACACTTTAACCACTGGGCTACCCGACCGCCCCTGTTCCATGGTGAGTCCAGATTAATACCATTGTGTATCATCAGCGGTGGGAGTGTGATGATTGATGAATCAACAATATTATCATCATCCTGGGGATGCTTTCAGATGTATTGTGAACTGGTTACATTAGAGAATTGTTTGTTTGTTTGTTGTTTACGCCGCACTCGGCAATATTCCAGCTATATGACGGCGGTCTGTCAATAATCGCGTCTGGACCCGACAATTCAGTGACTGACATCCTGAGCATCGATCCTCGCAATTGGGATTATATGACATGCATCAACTAATGCCGCGAGCCTGACCACCCGACCCCGTTAGTCGCCTCTTACAACAAGCATAGTCGCCTTTTACGGCAAGCATGGGCTGCTGAAGACCTATTCTCTACCCGGATCTTCACGGGTCTGAAGACATTGTGTGACTCATCGCAAGAATAACACACCACGCCCTTTGGGTACGATGACACGCAATCAACCAATCATTTAGTCTGCTCTTACCACAAGCATGACGTACCGGACAGCCTGACTCGGAATCACTGCAGAGACTTAAAGATTTCATAACTTAGGAAGGCTGGAGAGTGATTGAGCGGGTGATTTACCCCACTTTTCAATATAATATTCCAACCCCACTTTTCAAGAAGGGGGCACTAAGACCCTTCTACATCCACTGCACCCACGTGGAATCGAATTCGACTTCACGTGTGGCCAGCGCATCGCGGGTACATCTTTGCCGGAGATTTTGTTAATAAATCTACAACATGGCTATTCCGGATGTTATCCCCAGGGTGACAATTGGCTGTTGCACGAGGTGCTAGAAATACTCGTAGACATGTTTATTTGATTGATCGAGCATTTGTAAAAGGGAGGGGTGAAATATCAAAATCCTAACTCATTGGGACGCGCGCGCGCGCGCGTGCTTGCGTGTGTGTGTGTATGTGTATGTGTATCTGTATCTTTGTCTGAACCCTGGACCCCCCCCCCCCCCCCCCCCCCCTCCTCCCCTCAGAGAACTAACTCTACTTCTATTGTACTGCTGCATATTCTCTGATGTATTATAAAACAGTTCATTTCAACGCCGGGTAATTACAAGATACATATATGCATACGTATTATCGATTTCAGGCAATGTAGGACATGCTTGCAGCGTTATTGATTTCTGAAACGTGTTTTTGTTTGTTACGCTGTGGGAAAACACTAATTACATTGTGCATATGCAGCCTGGTGTTGTGTATTCATTTGATAGTTTTTCTAACCATCGTAAACGTTTACGCACTTGTTTTATTCATGGTGGCATAATGACAAGTGTGTGTTCTCCAGAGGGATGTAAAGATGGATAGTGCATTGATTCTCCAACACTGGCTCCCTAGGGAGTTCATGTATCTGTTATGAGATCAAGCGTTGTGACGCGAGACCTCGCTTCATTACACACCGTCATGTCTATCGCCTGGTTGACAATATTTAGCTTGTGATTGAAAGTTCAAACATAATCCCTGTACATTTTAAACTACGTTCTGCTAATAAATTATCTTTATTTATTGTATCTGGCATTGTTATCATACAAGGCGACAGTACTTTGTTTGTTTGGTTCTTGTTTAACGCCGCACTCAGCAATATTCCAACTATATGACGGCGGTCTGTAAAGTAATCGAGTCTGGACCAGACAACCCAGTGATCCAGCAATTGGGATCGATGACATGTATCAACCAAGTCAGCGAGCCTGACCACCCGATCCCGTTAGTCGCCTTTTACGACAAGCATTGTCGCCTTTTACGGCAAGTATGGGTTGCTGAAGACCTATTCTACCCCGGAATCTTCACGGGTCTAGCTAAAGTCATATGAAGGAATAGGATATATATATATATTCAGTCATTCATTTAATAATGTCCCTTGGGTTCTGAGGCAGGTAAGGTGTCTACAGTTGGTGTAAAAGTTAAAAGGATGGGGGATCGAATGTCAATAACCTATGTCACTGGTGATTTGATGATTACTCACTCACACAAAGTTAGTGGCAATTAGCAGCTGTACACCAGAATCGCCTTTTATCATAGAACCCATCCAAGGTCTTCATTGTGACTGAATGTGATTGGTCTCAACGGAAAACACACTGTTATTACATATTTGCATCGTACCTGGGCAACCGTTACGCCCATGAAATTGATGTTGCGGTGACTGACATCAGGCTATGAATGACGTAATGGAGACTTCCGGCATCAACAATTTCATGTGATTTCTCTGACTTAAACCATGTTTTGGGTGATATGCAATTTCTCTATAGGTTTGCATAACGACCTATAGTTGCGTCCGGTTTACTTGTTAAAGCACGTTCAGAATGGTAAGCGAATTCCTGGCCCAGGATTAACGTCAACAACAACGTGACGTTATCATACTGTTTTAAAGCCTCGGGAGCTAGCGTAAAGGATATAAAGGTTGAGAACGATTTTAGCAATTGATGGTAATGACAGTATTCTTGATATTTATTCCATTACGATAATTGAAAACCGTACATTCCGACTAACCCGTCAGTCCTAGCGACTGTACGGAAACACATTAGTTTTGACATCCGGGTGACTAAAGAAGAGGTGCAGACGTTTTAACTTTTCATGTATTTTTAAGTTTCAATTGCGGATTCAAACTCTGATGAGATGGATCTCATGTATTCATTCAACACCAAGCCACAAACATATGACAGATAAGTGAAGCCTCATAAGAACATTACCTCAACCAAACAGAGTTGTTTAATGTTGCACAACTGTCATCTATACCATTCAAAGAAAGTTAAAGAACACCCGATGTTTTTAAATGACTATAGTTAATCTGTCATGACAGAGTGACTAAGTAATTACTATTTCTTTCCTGAACAGTGTTGAGTTACACAACATAAAGGGAACAACAATTTTGGGGTGGGGGTTCTTATGGAGCTCATAGAGACCTTGAATGTCTGGAATAAGGTTACCAAAACAACATTGTTTAAACATTTTAGGTGTAGGGTTCTTTGAATGAAGTTCCACGTTGGCCATGGTTAAAATACACGATGGGCCCGGGGTATTTTTCAAAATAGAATGGTTATACTACGCGGAGTAATATATGATGCGTGTCTGTCCACCCGATCCATTTAGTCACTTCGTAAGAGTGTAGGTTACTGGGGACCTATTTTAACTCGGAATGCCCCCCTGGGTATACTACAACGCCAGTTGGGAACGGAATACCGTGCGGAATACTGTCGCCTTGCCCAAGGAACGCGTTAATTGTATAATATTAACAATACAAGATATCAGTTATACAAGTAACGCGTTAATATAATAATATTTACGAAACTAGGAACGTGTTAATATTATTGGTGAGGTGAAATGAGGTTTAACGTCGCGCGTGATTGTGCCAGTCCGGACTAATGCCGAGTGTTTTGTGCTATCCCACCGCAGTTTAACATAAATACCCCACTCAGACACAGCATACTGACAGTATACTGACTCCGATTTAGTCCCTTATGCCGAGCGCCAGGCAGGGTAACAACAAGTACCATCTTTTAACCGTGTTTTCGTTTGACGCGGCCGGGGATCGAACCCACGACCTTCCGCTGTCTGGGCAGACGCTCTATCCACTAGATCATGGAGGCGGTCGTTTTTATTTAACATTTAATAGTACAAGGAACGTGTTAATATAATATTATTAATAAAAGGACCGTGCTAATGTTATATTAATAATAACAAGGAACGTGTTGATATTATATTAAAAATACAAGGGACGTATTAATACTATGATTAATGTTTACAAACGAACGAGGAACCCAGACTGGTGATAAATCTACCGCGTTATTTCAGTTCCGGTTAGGATCCTGGTTTGTAAACAAATTTCAAACTCCATCCTATTCAATCTACATGCTATTACCCTGCTGTGTGATGCCGAGGCTGTTCCACTACAATCGGTCACGGAAGAATGGATAGAAACACGTGGCGTTTTCATTGTAGAGCTGTGTATAATATATCACTAGAATTAAAAAACACACTAGCATTGTACGTTTGGTTTCAGTTTCAATTTAGAGTTGTCAAATCTACAGGTAACATATTAAACCTTACATTGAAAACACTTGATTATTTCCGAAACCTTTGATTTTACATTAAGTTGTTTACCCCGAGAACACCACGTTATAGTTATACAATAGATACAATGCGTGCCACGTGTGTTGTAAGCGGCGACCGAGGGTATCGGATGGTCAGGCGTCATGCCTTGGATGATTGCATTTCGTTGTGCCACGAGGATCGATACTCAGGGCTTCAGACAATGGTTTGCCTGGTCCAGATTCGATTATTTACAGCAATCTGCGTTACCCCTGGAATATTGCTGACTGTGGTGTAATTAAAAGACACAATTAAAAAAACGTGATCGCGAAAAGGTTCGATGTAGGCTATAGTAATGTTCACACGAATATGCGAATTTATCGGACTGTATCTGACCTCTGTCGTTATCGTTATTATTCGTCAGAAAATTAATTAAATAGCAACCGTGATCACAAAACTATGTTAATAAGGAATGAAATCTAATCTAACCCTCGAATAGTTTCAAGGGCGGTCGGGTGGTTGAAGCGTTCGCTCGTCACGCCGAAGACGCGGGTTCGATTCCCGACATGGGTACAATGTGTGAAGCCAATTTCTGGTATCCCCCGCCGTGATATTGCTGGAATATTGCTAAAAGCGGCGTAAAACGATACTCACTCACTCACTCGAATAGCTTCAAGCATAATATATGGGAGTTGTTTTCAGTGAAAGGTTATTTCGCGCAGGGAAATACAAAGTCACGAATATTTGTGTGAAAATGATTATTAATCTCATTTACATTATCTGTCGCAAACACAAATCAAAACGCGCAATCTATCAGCGAGTCTTCTATTGTTGACGTTGACGAAGCCAAATGAACTGACATCTGAATCCTGACACCTGGTAATCACACCTGGCAGCTGTCAATAAACGGCGCTGAAATGAACACTGGCTCGTGACTCACGTGCAATCTGCATGGCGGGCTTGGTGAATAAGCCGGAGTCCTCATTATAGTCGGTGACGAAAGTGAAGCATTTGGTTGGGTTGAAGCGATGGGATTCAGGAATCATGGCCCGATCGGCATCTGTTAGAAAACAAGAATTAATCAGTTTGGTCAGTACGGTGGGTGTCGGCTTGTAACTTGAATTGAATAAGGATTTCCCCGAGGTGTGCAATAGACTGTACACACATGTCTATATTAGGTATATTGACCTACATATTACTTCATGTTTTGGTTAGGTTTGGTTTGTTGTTTAACGCCGCACACAGCAATATTCCAGCTGTATGACGGCGGTCTGTAAATAATCGAGCATGGACCAGACAACCCAGTGATTGACATCATGAGCAGCGATCCACGCAATTGGGATATGATGACATGTATCAACCAAGTCAGCGAGTCAGACCATACGCCTTTTACAGCAAGCATGGGTTCTGAAGACCTATTCTGTCCCGGATCTTCACGAGTCTTACGTTATGTGTTACAGATCAAGAAACACTGGGCGCTGAGGCACTCAGAATTTCTATTTTGTCTGGTTAACTTTTTTTGCAAGCCAATTTACACATTGCTGATATATATGTACGGGGGTTCACTAAACTGAAGGCAAAAGAACGTATACTCTCATTTTTGATGGTGGCTAAAATGAAAAGAAAAAAAGAAATGAAGTGTTTATTCCATTGTGATGTATTTTATACGGGTATCATAGTAGTGTTTGAAGCTTAAGGTTGCAGTGTTTCGGCGACTGTTTTCAGTCTAGTAAGGTCTTGATAACGTTTGTTAACTTTTACATTTTTAAATGTGTACTTTCCTTTGCCGGCTGTTACACCCAAGTCTCGTATTGAACACTAAAACAAAGTCTCTCAGCTGCCAAGCCATTACAGAAGAAAACGTAAACCATTATTCCCATACCATGTTCGTGGTTACCATGGCAACACATCCATTATGGAATCCCCATAGAGTTGGGGACCGACAGTGGAATCCTATACAATCTGGAAAACACCTCCATTGGATGCAGGAACAAATATAGTTCGACAATGGTCTTGAAGCACCGTTTAATTAGGTACAAATTACTTCATAATGTACGCTATTTAGTCATGTATGTTTGTCGGAATAAAAACACAAGGTACTCGAATGAAGGTAAATAACGATTAGGTAGGATAAATAAAGATTTCTTTTACGTACACTTAATATAAATCATCCTTGAAAATACCTATTACGCCTCGAAAGCAACGAAAGTAATAATACCATCAAAGTCATCGATTTCCGACATAAAATCGTTTTACTCTTTTTCTTCTTCCAAATTCCCTGCTCGTTTAATTACTCTCTTCATGGTCGCCCTTGTCAGTCAATCGGATAACCTCGGGACACTACGTTACTTAGGCATATTAATGTTTTCCGAGATTCATAAGGTTGGCTAGGTAGGTTCGATGACATTCGGATCGATAGCCTCCGTCAATGACGTCATTGCAACTACGGGGTGCTGACGAGTTGCTGCAGTTTGTAAGGGATCCGTGTAGAAAACGTCTATATTGGTTCTAGCAAGATCTTAATTTCCTGTTCTGTTAGAAAATTTGATTACTCCTACCAAAGGAGTGGCGCAGTGTCCAATGAATATGGATAATGACAATCAATAGAATATAACGCTATAACCTAGAGCAGCCACTGACGCACAACTGATAAAGTGTACATCATTGATGATGTCTCCTCTCATCATTTACCCCATCCCCCTTCACCCAAACTTCCCCATGGTATTCGGGAGCAAAGCTTTACAGTTCATAGTTTGATGTTCGTAACACTTCTATTGATTCCTTGTCTAACTTGTCTGCACTGCGACGGCGTCCAATGAATGAATGAGCCAATACTCTTTATCTCCCCAATGTTTTGGAGAGTAGTACATACAATTACATTACATCACTTGTCTATGGCAATGACAAAGGACATAGGTATGACAAATTAAGCAGGGTGTTCACTATTTAGTACTCTGGAAACAGCAAACCATTAATTAGAACCGCATGAGCTTTCCTTGCGTGTCAGAAGGGTCAAAATTCCACTAGGTTACATACAAATGCAATCTTTATACTCCAAGGCAAAATTTACTGTGACATATTAAAAACAAAGAGAATAGGTCATCACACGTTACTGCAGTGGATGGAATATCACCTGGAAAGAACAATGTTTGAAGTACGGTAACGAGCAACAGTCCATACTAAGAGAGCTCCTGTCATTTGTTGAATAGTCATGTCACACAAAGGGGTTCAACAGCAAGTTTTCAGAAGCGAGAGTGTCCATCTTGTGCATTGATTCAGGTCTCACACCTTCATCTGCGTTATCTGCAATGTCACTCCAGTAACGGTAAAACGGCCGTTTGTAAAATCTAGCCTGTCATCTCTCACTTTTCTAATTCCCGTCCCACTTGAAGAATTAGTCCTAAGCAAACATGCTTGTCGTAAGAGGCGACTAATGGGATCGGGTGGACATGCTCTCTGACTTGGTTGATACAAATAATCGTATTCAAATTGCCTAGCTCGATGCTCATGATGTCAGTCACTGGGTTGTCTGTCAAGACTCGATTATTCACATCATATAGCTGGAATATTGCTGAGTGGGGCGTTAAACAAAAAACAAACAAAGAAACAATCAAATTGCCAGAAATCATAAACATCCCAGATCACAACGTCACCACCTCCAAGGTGTTCGCCTTCATGAAACAAACTCCATACAAATTGAAAAGGAGCCCGAGTGGGAACCTGTGGAAATGTAGACTTGCTTCATCTAGAGCTATAGCATGACCATAAGGGCTGGCCGGAAAGGGCAATTATAGGGATCAGGGACTGTGAGACGGACTATCGGATCGGCGAGGAAGAAAACGTGACCCACAAAAGAAGACAACACTTCTCCAGTTACGTGCTGTCAACTGTACGTATTGCCTGTATCACTAGACGAGCCTGATTCCCTGATTGCGGGTTCGAATTCCATATTCGCCCTAATTATAATTCTTGGTTCGTCATCACCATACCTATTCCCATGGATCTGAGCAAAGATTAAGCGTCAACTACGTCTTCGGACTTTCCTGCAAAATGAAGCTGATACGCCATGATAAAACTGAAATATTTTCAAACCCAACTAGCCCTCTTACTAACCTGAAATGTGCTCTCTATTGGGTTGTCGTGATTGCTACCTGGCCAGGCGACTTAAAGGTATTCAAGAAAATCAATAGTAAGGTCGATGTGGAACTGCCTGCTGTAAATCGAAATGCTTCCGCCACACGATATGGGACTCCAGGAGCCAGGAGTTTCCAGTCCCGTTACATGTGATGACGCTACACTGTGGACATGCGAGGAGTGGCTGAGGCAGTCTGTACCTCACTATGTAGGACTGCGTCGATGGAGTTGGTATCTACTTATTATTCGTTTTACTTAATCCCCATCGAGGTCCACACACTTCTGTCACCGATGCTGGAGGCACTGGATCCCACTGGAGATAAGGAGATAAACAAATCCCCCACAGCAGAAATGACGTTATTATCATTTACATAATGCTTGCCAGGCTGTTTTAATGTTTGGGGAGAGGACATTTGACGGAGCTTAATGTAGTAAATACGGAGAATGTTCCATGCAGCTCCGAACTGCAGCCATGGCAACAGAACTGTGCCCAGTGCGTTGTCCTTGTGGAAGAAAACACCTTTAGTAAGTTTTTTTAGCCTAAATATTCGCACGGAGTAATATAATCTGTTAATCTAGTCTTGATAGTACCAGTATTTTGGTCATGAATTGTTTGAACGTTTTGGAGTTTTCAGTAGAATTTCTTTGAGATCTCAGAAAACCGAAGCAATCACCTTGCAAGCTGATAGAACAGATTTTGCCTTCTTATTCGGAGAATTGTGAGTTGTTCCCACTGCGTTGACTGTTGGCCTCTTTTTCAAAGTGTTAAACCCAAGTCTCACCCAAGAATACTAATGGCTCAACAACCATCAGCTGGGTCTATTTCAAAACGACGAAAATTCTCACGGGCTTCCAAAGCCTTGGACACCTTTGCCATGCCCAGTTGGTTCCTCAAAAGGTTCTCACCCCTCTTATGAAAGATGTCTGCTTGATTGCTTTTGTGACGTGTGGTGAGTCGTCGATAATAATGGCAGTTTTGGACTTCCGGATCTGGATCATCTCCGAGGCTCTCTCTTCCCCTCTAGAACTCCGCTACCCACCTCTTCATGGTGACAAAGGAAGGAGCATCAGCCCATAGATGGACGTCGGAAATAGCTCTTTCAGTTGGAGATACGTATTGACAACGGGGTAGCTAAATTGTATCCAGATACATCATCAGAGAATACCTAGTTGCCTGCAGAAATATGCTGCCAGGTTGTGTCTGTGGTTCAAATGCAGCCTGTAATCCATTCACTTAATACATGCCAACTGTTAAGGATGTACAATATATCCTTCGTAGTAAGGCTCAGAACTGTTCAGCCATTCTTTGTACCGTAGGTGCCTCAAGGGAGGCCGATTAATGCATCCGCATAATATCAGGAACTCCCTAAAGTGCCAAATACATAGGTTCACTATTCAGTTGCCTCAGTTAGAACTCCCTCTCACGTTATAACATTTCCGAGACATATATTATTTATCAGTATTGAAAACGGTTCATATTGAGGTCAGTGGCCTGTGACGACATACGGTAAATCACACACGTGCTGTCAGTGGAATCCGTGCCAGTAAATGTTACTGTGGCTGGTCAGATGCATTTCTGTCATCGGTTACAGTCTCCTCCAGGACATCAGAAGCATATAAATGGGGGATTGTTTGTGGCATGATTCTCTATAAAATAATGTTTATTGTTACTTTCTAAGAATTCGATGGCGCAGGCAATCAAACCATCTGAGGCGCAGAAATCCGCTATTTAGAGTTCCGCTCTAGTCTGTTTCAGTCCCTGAACCATGTTTTCCCTTCCGCCCAGCACCTACTGTGACGCTTCATCCCAAAATGAAGTCCCGATTTTCCACAGGTCTGAATTTCCCATATCACAAGGTCTCCCTTTCAGTTTAAACGGTGTTGTTTTGTTTCTTTGAAAAATATATTTTTTCAGAGAGTAAGCGT